GGGGCGCCTGGGGGCTCCGTTGGTGAAGTGTCCGCCTTCGGCTCCGGTCATGATCTCAGGGTCCTGGGATGGAGCCCCACATCGGGCTCCCTGCTCAGCGAGGGGTCTGCTTCTCCTTCTCCCTCTGACCCTCCTCCTGCTCGTGCTCTCTCTCTCTCTCTCTCTCTCTCATATGAATACATTTTAAAAATGCATAAAAATAAATAAATGGCGGAGGTTCCAGATTGGGTAAAATAGAAAGATTCAACGCTGTGCTACCTACATAAACACACTTCACATACAGACACAAATAGGTGAAAATAAAAGGATGCAAAAGTTATCCCACACGGACAGTCATCAAAAGAAGGTAGAGACGAAGGAGATTTCAGTGCGAATATCTCCAGGGATAAATAGCATAATTTCATAAGAGGAAACTGACAACTTCACCAAAAGGACCCAACAACCCTAAACGTGCATGAACCTAATGACAGGTAATAAAAGTCAAAAACTGGTTGGGGGAAATGAGAAAATCCACATATGCAGAGTTCCTCTGTCTTCTCCCAATATTAGAGTCAACAAGTGGGCAGAAAATAATTAGGGGCATAGAAGGCTGCCAACTAACCGGCCTGATTGATATTTATAGAAGAGTCTTTCATCTTCTGGGCCCAAGTCTCAACATATGTGAAATAATTCAAGTCATCAAAAGAATGTTCTCTGACCACATTACAATTATATTAGAGAGCTATCTGGACAATTCTCAAATATTTGTAAACCAAATAATCCACTTCTTAATTTTCCATGAATTGAAGGAAAAACCAAAAGGAAAAATAAAAATTATTTTGAACTGAATGGAAATGAAAAGACAACATGTAAAAGGACCCTTTATCTGGAATGCAGTCAAAGCAGTCCTTAGAGAAACCTACAGCACCGCTTATTTTAGAAAAGACGTGTCTCAAACCAGTAACCTTGGCTTCCACGTACAGGAGCTAGAAAGGATGAGAACAGATGAAACCCCAAGTAGACAGAAGATGAGGAATAATAAAGGTCACGTGATAAATCGATGAAAACAGAAAAACAGAGAAAAATAATGACCTAAAGCTGTTTCTTTAAGAAATTGATAAAATCAGGGACACCTGGGGGGCTCAGCAGCCGAGCGTCTGCCTTCAGACCCCTGGGTCCCGGGATCGAGTCCCACATCGGGCTCCCTGCGTGGAGCCTGCTTCTCCCTCTGCCTGCGTCTCTGCCTCTCTCTCTGCGTCTCTCATGAATAAATAAATAAAATCTTAAAAAAAAGAAATCGATAAAATCATCTTACACATGGAAGTGGAATAAGAGGGAAGACACACACTTGATAAATGGGGGAGAGAGGCCACACAGAACTACAGATTTTACACACATTAAAATAACAGTAGGAAACGTTATGAATGACTTTATGCCAACGGATGTGACACATTAGGTGAAGTGGACAAGCTCCCTGGAAGTTACAAGCTGCCCGAGCTCACTCTGGAGGACACGGAGAGCCTGAGTAGACCCACTCGATGCCGCAAACTCCTTGGCAAACACCTTCCCACAAAGGAAACATCAAGCCCAGAGGACTTCACTGAGACGTTCCTGAAAACATTTTGGGGGGGTCGCTGGCTGCTCCGCCAGTCGAGCCTATAAGTCCTCATCTCAGGGTGCTGAGGTCCAGCCCCACACTGGGCACAGAGATCACTACAAATCATTTAGGGAGGAAATAAAACCCATTCTGCACAAATAAGGGAAGGGAAGGGAAGGGAAGGAGGGAAGGGAAGGGAAGGGAAGGGAAGGGAAGGGAAGGGAAGGGAAGGGAAGAGAAGGGAAGGGAAGGGAAGGGGGGAAGGGAAGGGAAGGGAAGGGAAGGGAAGGGAAGGGAAGGGAAGGGAAGGGAAGGGAAGGGGGGAAGGGAAGGGAAGGGAAGGGAAGGGAAGGGAAGGGAAGGGAAGGGAGGGAAGGGAAGGGAAGGGAAGGGAAGGGAAGGGAAGGGGGAAGGGAAGGGAAGGGGGAAGGGAAGGGAAGGGAAGGGGGGAAGGGAAGGGAAGGGAAGGGAAGGGAAGGGAAGGGAAGGGAAGGGGGGGAAGGGAAGGAGGGAAGGGAAGGGAAGGGAAGGGAAGGGAAGGGAAGGGAAGGGAAGGGGGAAGGGAAGGGAAGGGAAGGGAAGGGAAGGGAAGGGGGGAAGGGAAGGGAAGGGAAGGGAAGGGAAGGGAAGGGAAGGGGGGAAGGGAAGGGAAGGAGGGAAGGGAAGGGAAGGGAAGGGAAGGGAAGGGAAGGGAAGGGAAGGGGGGAAGGGAAGGGAAGGGAAGGGAAGGGAAGGGAAGGGAAGGGAGGGGGGAAGGGAAGGGAAGGGAAGGAAAGGGAAGGGGGGAAGGGAAGGGAAGGGAAGGGAAGGGAAGGGAAGGGAAGGGAAGGGAAGGGAAGGGAAGGGAAGGGGGGAAGGGAAGGGAAGGGAAGGGAAGGGAAGGGAAGGGAAGGGAAGGGGGGAAGGGAAGGGAAGGGAAGGGAAGGGAAGGGAAGGGAAGGGAAGGGAAGGGAAGGGAAGGGAAGGGAAGGGAATTCCCCCCAATGCATCCGTGAAGCCAGCAGCCGTGTGAAGACGTAGCGTGGTCAAGTGGGGCTTATCCCAGGGATGCGAAGTTGGTTTCACATTTGAGGATCAACTAATGTGACTTACCAGATACTTTTTGAGGATTTTATTTACGTATTTACTTGGGAGCGAGCCCCCGCACGGGGCGGCTGCAAGGGAGAGAGGATCCCAGGCACGCAGCCCCAGGCGGGCTCCATCTCCCACCCCGAGACCGTGACCTGAGCTGAAACGGAGACGCTTAGCGGATGCAGCCGCCCAGGCGCCCCCGGAACCTACCCCAGTAACAGAAAAGCGGTTACATGATCTCAGTAGAGACGGAGAAAGCACCGGACAGAGGACTGACACCCATTCCTGATTTTAAAAACTCTCAAAAAAACAAAACAAACAAACAAACAAAAAAACTCTCGAAACTCGACCTAGGGAAGGCGTCTCCAGCCTGACGAGACACCGTGGCCGAGGCCACGCGGCTGGCAAACACTGAAGCTCAAACTGCCCCTAAGATCAGAACCGCGCGTCGGGCGAGCTCCCGGCTGCTGCTCAGCGTCGCCCCGCGGGTTCCAGCCGGTAGGTTGGGAACAAGTAGGATGGTCCTGATTGGCAGGTGACACGACCAGCTGCGTAGAAACTTCTACGTGAGCTACAAGAAAAAAGCCACTAGAACCAACCGTGTTAGCGCCCGTGCCGAGGGCGAAGGGCAGCGCAAGGGAGAGGGTCCCGCGCGGGGCACGGGGCTCTCGCGCCGCCGGCACCTGCCCTGGGAAGTCGTGCAGCAGGCGCTCCGGGGCCAAGCCTGCTCCGAGTCCAGTCCCGAGGCTGCGCGGCCCCCAGGTGCTCCCCCAACAGAAAACAAGGCTCGTGTCCACACACCTGTGCACCAACGTCCGCGGCAGCTTTATTTGTAAGGCCCCACACTGGGAACTCCCCAGGCGTGGGGCAGCCCGAGTGACCCACGTGTGCGCCCGGCACCCGTCAGCTCGCCGCAGCCGGGGGGGCCCAGGTAGTCACCCTGGGGTGGGAGAACGCCGGCGGGAAAGGGAGTCGGCGTTGTCTGGGGGCGTCGGCGTAACACGAGCCAGGGATCCGCGGCGACAGGAAAGTGGCCGGGGGACAGGACAGAAGGGTCGGGGCAGGGGTGGCGACTCCTGGGGGCCACGGCACACGCCATTGGGACTGCGCCCCCGGACCGGACCCGGACAGACGCGCGTTGGAACCACCAGGCCATGCTCTCTGCACAGTGGCGGTCGTCGTGGCGATGGGGCCTCGAGGAAGGGTCACATTCTAGAAGACAAAGCAGGTTGAGGGGCCAGAGGAGGGGCCTCCGGGCGGCGACAGGGGCCCCAGCCACGGGCCGCCCTCGGTGTTTGCTGGGCGGCTGTGTGAACACCTGACTCGGGCCGGAAACCACTCTTGGCTTTCTCTCGCACAAACCCCCTTTAAAAAAACAAAAAACAAAAAAACCCTCTTTTGGGTTTCCCCTTCCCTCCCGGAGCTGCTGTCAGCCAGACAACCCGCTTTCCCCTCACAGGGCCCAGCGCAGGCCTCGTCCCCCATCCACTCTGCACCCGCCGCGCGGGGGCCCTGGACCCACTGACCCCTTCCAGGGACACTTGGGGTGCCGGCTGCGATCTCGCTGCAGACACGGTCGGGTGGGCAGCCCCTGTCCCCGCCTCGGCCTAGGGCCCCGCCAGGCTCGGCCATCCCCAAGGAGCTCGCCCGGCAGGACGCCGCTCGTGCTTCACAGCGGCTCTCGCGGGGTGGGGTGAGGGCTCCTGGGGCTGAGCAGCACCCTGCGATTGGGCCTCGGGCCCCTAGGTCCCCAAGGACACCCCGCCGAGGCCAGGGCAGGACCGTGCAAGCCAGGCCGTCCAGACCAGCGCTGGCAGGTGGGCGAGCCTCCCCCCGGGAAAAGCCCGGCTCCCCACTGTCACCCAGTCAGCCTGCTCTGTTGCTGCCCCGGGGCCCCAGGAGGAGGCCTTCTGCCAGCTGGGGGGCACGCAAGGGGGCTGCAGCCGCGTGTGCTGGCCGAGCGGGGCGTCTGCAGCCCAAGTGGCTGGGGCAGGGCGGGGCGGCCCCCGGCCCCTGCCAGCCCCGGTGGAGACCCTAGGCCAGGAGGGTGCCAGGAAGGCGGCTGGCCTGCTGTCAGGGTGCCTGGGCGGCACCCCCGGCCTCTGCAGCCTATGGGATGCGCGTCCAGGAGACTCCATATACCCCACCGCCCGGGCTGACCCGGTGCCCCCTCCAGGCGTGGGCAAGGCTCTGGGCGCAGGACGGCCTCCCACAGCCCCTCCCGCCCTTCTGGAGCCTGACAAGGGTCCAACACCCTCTGTGGCCTGTCTACCCCCTTCCTCCCCCGCCTGGCCCCCCGCGTCCCCTCCCCATGCAGAGTCCAGGTCATGCCCAGGTGTTGGTGGCACCTGCCTCGGCTTCCACGTGGGCTGGGTCTGTGCGCACCCTGGCAGGGGTCCAAGGGCGAGGTCCGAAGCGCTGGGCCTGTGGGGCACCACTCCTTCCTCCCACACCCCTGGGGAAGGCTGATGCCCGTGCCTGCCCCCCTGGCCCTGCCCCGGCCACCTCTGCCACCAGCCCCTGAATCAGAGCTGGGCTGGGGGGTCCTCCCTGCCAGAGCACTGACGACGGGGCCCCCAGCACGCAGACCTTCCACGCAGGCTGCTGGCATCACGGGACTCAGGTCCGAGGTGCTGGGGCTGACCCGGGGGATGGGAGGATCCCCGGGGGCAGGTGATGTGGAGGGGCGGGTTGCCATAGCAACCTCGGGGCCTGTAAAGCCGGGCGCCCCTCCCTGAAAGGAAAGAGAGGGAAGGGAGCTGCGGCCACAGGGGGGCACCCAGGCCCTGCCCGCGACCCACCGCCAACCCGCTGAGCCTCCAGTTGCTGAGCAACGGTCTTCAAGGGTGGGGGGACACCCTGAGGCCTGAGGACGACCGGGGACAGATGGCAGGAGACCTGCTGTGCCCTCTGGCCGTCACGCTCCGGTCGGGGGTCGCCCCTCGGCCCCCGGAAGCAACTGGAGTGCAGATCCTCACACGGACCCCAGGACAGGGAGCCTGGGAAGCCCATGGAGCCCACAGCACACGCGCGACCGCCCGCCTCACCCCCGTGTCCACGCACTTTGAGCCCTGCCGCTGCCCTGCACGCTCCCCGGAGCCTGCAAATACGTCCTGCCCCGCCCCACACGGCTCGGGAGCCCTGGGGAGAAGGCCGGGCATCTAGCTACTGTCATGTGGCCGCGGGCACGTGGGGGGCCCGGGCCACTTGGGTCCCTGCCCTCAGAGCTCCTGGGGTTGCCGGAGGACGCCCTGAGCTGGTGCCAGAGCTGTGGCCTGGAAGCCATCAGTGGCCACTGGGCGCTTGGGGCGGCCTCCCCAAGGGGCCCTCCTGCGTGGACCCCTCCCGCCCTCCTCGTCGTGGCCAGGCCCAGGGAGAGGGCCGCCCGCCCCAACACCCCCCCCAAGCCCAAACCTCCCCGTTTCCATGGAAACTGCAGAGTCTGCAGGTATCAGGCACCTGGAAGCTGCCGGGGCTCCCACGCTCCCCGCGGAACCGCGCCAGGTGCCCCTAGGACAGGTGAGCACGGAGCTCCCGACGACGCCACTCACGGCCGAGGCGTTTGCGCGGGAAGGCGGCGCGCTCACTCGCTCTGCGGCTGACCTGGCAGGCGCTCTCCCCCCGAAGGAGAAAGGCCGAGGCGGCTTCCTGCACACGAGGGGACGTGGCGTCCTGCTGCGGCGGGCCTCGGCCGCACCGCCTCTCCCAGGCTTAGCCAGATCCCCGGGGTTCCGCTCCCCGGACACACCCCGCTGAGGGGACCGGGTGTGCGATGGCCCGGGTGGGGGCGGGGGCTTCCAGGACGGTCTAGGGACCCGATGGCCTGGGACGTGTCGGGACGTCCTGTAGCGCAGGTAAGTTCTGCACCCCACGGCCCCCACTTCTCAGAGGCCAGGGCCGGGGAGACTCTGCTCTGGGGGCGGCGTGCGGCCCGACCCGCCCATGTCCTGGGCGTCGGGCCCTGCAGCGCGTCGGGCGGCCCACCGGCCCACGCTGCCCAAGGCCTGCGGCAGAGACGCCTGCCCAGCCCCGAGCACCTGAGGGGCGCGGCCGTGTCCTCCGCCAGAGTCACTCATCCCTTCGACAGGCTCTGGTCACGGAGTCTCGGTGAGGCCGAGGTGGCCGAGCCAGCGCCTGGTGAGAACCCAGGAGGCGCGGTGCCCTGGAAGGGTCATGCCAGCAGGAGACACCTGGGGCTCCTGGGGGGCTGCCCATCGGCTCTGGGACACCTGGGCAAGTGTGCCGCACGCCGGCGTCCCCCGGGTCCCCAGCTCGGCTCCACAGAAAGTAGCAGCCCAGGAGTGACCAACTGGCCGGACTCGTGAAGCCCCAGATGGGAAGTCCGGGGACTAGGGCTAGGGAGAAGCCCCCACGGGAGTGGATGGGAGACGCGTGGCCAGGCCTCTGTCACCCCCGCACCCGCCGGGGAGCCCACGCCCCAAAAGCCACCCCCAGATCCGCGCAGAGCAAAGCTACCCCGTCAGCGCGGTAGGAGAACGGGGATGCGCCTGGCATCCGGCGACAGGCTGGAACGTGGGCGGTGTGTGAGCGCGGCGGAGCCGGTGGCGTCCCCGGGGCAGAGGGGCGCAGCGCAGGGGTGCCAGCGCTAGGTCCCCGGGCTGCCCGCGCCGCGGTCTCCGCACCAGGATGATGGCAGGGGGCTGGGGTGCCAGCCTGGCACAAGCGCGGCTGTGGGGCAAACGCCAGGCGACTCGGGGCCCGGAAAGGGAGAGGGGAGCAGCCTCGCAGCCTGAGGGGTCGCTGCCAGCGGGCTTGAAGGTCTTGGCCTCCAAGGAGGCCCTCGCCCGCCGGGGACCCAGGCCCCCACCCGTAAGCTGCAAGCGGAGAGGATCCCTCCGTCAGGCGCCCTGAGAAGAGGCCGCTCTCCTACTGGCGCGATGGACCCGACCACCAAGGAGAGCTGGGGGGGGCTGCTCATGAGGGGCGGGACTGCAGCCCCCTCCCCGGGGGGGATCCTTCTGTTGAGCTTCCAACCCCCAGGGCCTCCAAATAGAACAGAGCCTTCAGGGAGGTGGCGGCTGGCGTCCTTCGGAGCAGCAGAACGCAGAGCCCGCAGGGACACGCAGCAGCTGGGGGGGGGGGGCAGGAAGAACCAGGTGGGGGCGGGGCAGGAGGAACCAGGCTGCAGGCCTCCGGGACTGGGCGGGGAGCGCGCTTCTGGGCTTGAGCCCCGAGGTCTGTGGTTCGTCCCACTGTGTCACGACAGCGCGCGGGCTGAGCCCCAGCTTCGCGGTCAGGCAGGGGGGCCGCACCCCTGTGCCCCGCATGACAGCAGCGCTCAGCGGGAACAGTGCCCCTGGGCACTGGGCCTATGGCACCCGCAGGGGGAAAAGGGAACAGAAACTTGTCCCCCCAGGATAAGGCAGCTGGTGAGACGCGGGGGCTGGCAAGTTTGGGGGGGCCAGAGGGGCCGCCTGGGCCTGGCCTTCCGCCTGCCCGTTCAGACTCACATCGCTACTGCCAGCCGTAAGCCACGGCCCCCAGTGTGCCCCGTGCCTGCCCAGAAAGGCCGACCCAGACTGGTGAGCGCAAAGGCACTTTAAGGGAGTGAAACAGCACAGGAGCAGAGCCCACGGACGGGCTGCGTCCATCCCCGGCGGACGAGGGCCTTCCTTGGAGGCCCATCTCAGCGCTTGGCCTCCGTGGCTCCGAGGTCAGCACTGCTCACAGTCACTGGGCCGCGGCGGCCCTGACGGTGCAGGGACCTCCACGTAGTGCACGCGGGTCGAGAAGGGGCCCGGTCGGGCCCAGTAGTCCACCGCTCGAACCCGGTAGGAGCCAGAGGTGACGGCTGACTCTGAGGAGGGAGAGACACCTGTTGAGTGTGCGCCCCCCTGGGCCCACCCCAAGGGTCTAGAGCTCCGTAGCTCTGGGCTCGGCAAACCCTGGGCCGCACCCTAGGGGACGCGGGCTGAGGCCCAGAAACGGGGCTGCTAAGGGCAGGGCACAGGGTGGCAGGCACACCTGGGCTGAACACAAACAGGTTAAAGGTGGATGGCTTCCTGCTGATGGGCGTGTACACTTCTCCATCCGCGGAGAACTGGATCTCATAGGTCCACAGGCATCTGGGGGGGGGGGTCGGACGGGAGGAGGAATGGCGTCCAGGTGGGGGAACGGGGTAGACTCAGCCGCATTCCCCCTCTGGGCCCTCCCCGGGGCCCTGGACTCTCCCTGCAGGGGCCATAGGCCGCTCTCGGGGTAGGAAGGGCACTGGAGCCTGGGCGCCACTTTCACACCTTCCCTGCAGGTGCCCCCACCCAAGCCAAGCAGGGAGTGAGGTCCGGGCCACCGAGCGGCGGTGACCAGGGGGGCGGGGAGGAGCACTGGAGTGACCCCGTGGGCACTGCAGCCGCGAGGGGCGGGCCGGGCGGGGGGACAGCGGCCGGGGGGCCCCAGGGGCGCGGGGGAGAGCCACTCACGCACTTGGAGCCCACGCGCTCATCCGACCACACCAAAAGCACCTGCCCACGGGTCAAGGGCAGGGCACGGAGCCGGGTCACCTGCAGGGGGAGAGGCTCCGTGATGGGGCGGCGGGGCGGCGGGGCGGCGGGGCGGCGGGATGGGGGGCCCGGGGCGGCGGGGGCGGGGGCGGCCACTTGCCGGTCCCGGCGGCTTCTCCGGGCGCGCGCACACGTGCAGCAGCAGTAGCGAGGGCAGCCGCAGCTCCACGCTGAGCGTCAGGCGGCCGCTGGCGGGGAAGGGGCGCGGCGCCTCGGCCACCGGGTCCTGGGGACGGGAGCGGCACTCAGGGCCTCGGCCCCGCCCCCTTGACCTAGGCCCCGCCCCCGCGGCCCCGCCCCCTTGGACCTCTGTCCCGGCCCCGCCCCCGCGGCCCCGCCCCCTTGACCTAGGCCCCGCCCCCCGCGCGGACCTCGGCTGCGCGCATGCGCCGGAACTCCTCCGCCGTGGGGAAGACGGGCCGGCCCAGGCGCTGCCACTCGCCGTGGGGGCTGCAGCGCGGGTTGTCCAGGGCCAGGGTGACGTAGACGAGCCCTGCGGAGCCTGCGGCTGGAGCCACGCCGGCCGCCCCGCCCCCCCGCGGCCCCCCCGCCCCGCCCCGCCCCCCCGCGCCCCCCCGCCCCCGGGCGCGGCTCACCTGGGCCCCGCGGCACCCCGAGCAGGCGCAGCGTCACGGGCACGGCGCGGGCGGCGTGGGCGCGCGTGTCGTCGCTCGCGTAGAGCAGCACGGTGGCGCGCCAGGCGTCCCGGGGCCCGGCCGGCAGGTGCGCGCTGGCCAGGACGCCCACCGTGTGGTTGCTGTCCAGCACCGTCCCGCCCCGCGACACCTCGGCCCAGAGCTGCCGGCCGTCTGCGGGCGGGGTGCGGCGGTCGCAGGCGCGGCTCGGGGCCCCCGCGCCCGCCGCCCGCGCCCGCCGCCCGCGCCCCCCGCGCCCCCGCGGCCCCCAGCCTGCCCGTCCCCTGCAGGGCGCGCCCCGCGCTCCCCCGGCCTCGGGCCCGCGCCGCCGCCGTTACCCAGCAGGGCCAGCAGCGCCATGGCCGTGAGCACCGGCTTGCGCAGCAGCTGCACGTGCGGCGGCTCCGTGTCGTTGACCTGGAAGCGCGCGGTGAGCGTGCGCTGCGTGAACGGGTGCGGGTGGAAGCTCAGGAAGGCGTTGTCGTTGCTCAGGAGCGCGGGGCGCACGGCCGCGCTGCCGTTGGCCCGGGGCGGGTTCTGGTGCTGCGCCACGACCTGCGGGCGGGCCGGGCGGGCGGGCGGGAGGCGCTTCCAGGCCCGCCCCCCCCCCCCCCGCCCCGGGGCAGGCCGCTCCCCGGCAGGGCCTGGGGTCCTACCTTCACCACCATGGCCGCGTAGGTCACGTCGGCCCTCCAGGGCTGCGGCAGGGACCAGCCCACCAGCGGGTCCGCCTCGTCGTTGTAAACGGGGGTGTCGGCGAACTTGGGGAACAGCCGTCGGATCTGCTGCACGGTGGCCTGCTCCTGTTCCAGGATGTAGATGGAGCTCCCCGCGCCCTGCGGACACTGACCTCAGCACCACTGCGGGCAGCCCTCCTGCGGCCCGGGGAGCGGTGCAGGCAGAGGGGCTGCCGGGCAGGGGCCACAGAGCAGCAGGGCAGGTGCATGGGGCGGGGGAGCAGTGCAGGGGCAGGGAGTGATGCAGGAGCTGCAGGGCAGGTGTGTGGGGCAGGGGCATGGAGCATGGGCCAGGGGAGTGATGCAAGGGCCACAGGGCAGGGGGGCAATGCGGGGGCCACACGGCAGGGGCACGAACCGAGGTGCGAGGCAGGGGGTGCAGGAACGACCGTACCTTCTTGTGGAGGGAGATGTAGTCCAGGCGCACACCCAGCTCCCCAGTGAAGAAGTTGGTGCCGTTGTGACAGTGCTCCAGGAGGCCCCAGCACAGGGGGGAGCGCGGCCAGGGGTGAAAAGAGTCCCCGGGACCGCCCAGGCGCAGGGCCGGGCTGGCAGCGCGCAGACCCTCGGAGCAGGCATCGTAGTAGTTCAGGAAGCCTGGCAGAGGGACAGGTGTCCACACCCTGGTGCCTGAGGACCCCTTCCACGCTCACAGGACCCCAGGAGGCACCACCCACCTTGCAGGGTCATGGACACGTTGTCGAAGTCGTGGTGGTCTGGCTCGTTCCACGTCTCGAAGTTCCACTTGGAAACGTATGAGAGTCCATACCTCCCTGCAGAGCGCCCCACGGTCACCCATGGTTCCCCCGAATGCCACGCCTGCCCCAGCTCACAGGGAGGCCTCGCCTATGCTGATGGTGATGTTGGCTGTGACCAGGATGTGGCTCCCCTGGGCCCGTCCACCCCACCCGGCCCCTGCCCCCATCAGGAGACCCTGGCTCGGGAGGCGCAGGGCCTGGGTGATGGGGGAGGACGGCCTGCGGGGAGTGCAGCCCGTGCCCGCCCACCGATGTATCTCCTGGCCAGGAGGGACACCAGCTCCTTCCACGCCAACACCTGCGGCTTGTCCTCGAAGTCGGTGAAGCGCTGGGAGGGGCTGCCCATCAGCTCAAAGCCTGCAGCACACGAAGGTGGCCGTCAGCTGCCACCTGCCCGCGGAGGCCAGTCCTCTGCACGTGGCCAGTGAGGACCCAGAGGGACCAGGTCCCCGGACGGGGCTGGCGGCCTACCTGGGAGGAGCTGGTTCTCCCTGAGGAGATCCAGGTAGCCATCCAGGTGGGTGAAGTTGTAGCTCAGGCCTTGCCCAGCTGACCCCCTGCAGAAGGACGCTTGGTGTCAGGGCAGAGGGACGGCACCCCGGCTGGACCTGTGGCCACACTGGAGCAGGTAGGGGGCCTGCAAAGTGCCACACGGGACTCCAGTCCCCACGCCCCACGGCCCCTTCTCTGGAAAACACCGAGGATGGAAGCCTCTGGGTCACTCACAGCCCAGCCTGCGCTCGAAACCCGCCCCAAGCCTTCAGGAGCCAGCAACGGCTTTGGTCTCAGGGGTGGCAGGAGGCAGCAGGTCTCCCGGGAAGAAGGTGCAACAGGATGGAGCAGGCCACAAGGCGCCATGGCCTCCTCCTCTGCACCCCCACACTCCGGGAGGTGCCATGGCAGTGGGAGCTGGGAGGGCGCAGCGCCCCACCCCACTACACTCCTCCCGGACTGGTTCCCTCCAGGCTTATGTTCCCAAAGGGGATATAGAACCTTCAGGCAACTACTTGAACCTTTAAGAGGTAGGGGGCGTCAGGGGTGACACCTAGGACCTTGTAGGTAATGGGACAGAGCCAGCAATGAGCATACCAGGGACAATAGACGGAGTGGCACGGGCAAAGGCCCTGTGGTGGGAAAACGTAACGAAGCAGCAGAAAGCAGCGAGTGGACCTGGGGCAGGAAGGGTGTGGTCGTGTCAGACACGGTCACGCAGGCCTCATGACCCCGGTGAGGATGGGACCCCGACTCAGTGAAACGGGGAGTTCTTTCACAGACCCCAGTAGAAAACTGCCATGACGTTGTTATAAAGACGTTTTGGGGGACAGTTTGAGGTCTCCAGCGGAACCGAGAAGGAGGTACGGAGACAGCCCGTTTCCCCTGCCTACCCAGAGGCACAGCCCCCCAACCTGCACCGGATGTGGGCGTGTCATGGAGACGCGTGGTCCTCACCCAGGCCACAGACGGGCGTCAGGGTCACCCCTGGGCTGCGTGCTCTGTGGATTTGGGTGCGTGCATCACGGCAGGTGCCCCACATGGTATCCCAGGGCGCGGCGTCATGGCCCCGAGGCCGCCGTCCTCCCCCCGTTCACCCCCCCAGCCTGACCACCGCTGACCCTGTCACTGTCCCCAGAGGTCTGCCCTTGCCATGAGGTCTGGAGAGGCCCCGGGGGGGGGGGGTAAGTGCCAGGACGGGGGTGGTGGCCACCTGGAGCGCGGCGGGGCACAGGGTGCACCTGCAGATGGGTGGCCACGGCCGAGGGACATCTGCTGGTGCGGGGGGCCTGGGTTTGAGCAGCTAGCTGGGCAGGGGTGTGGGGCACAGGGGGGCGTGGGCGGACCTGGCCGTGGGGCTGGGGGCCTTCCGGTCAGGCACAGGCAAGGGGGGGGTCGTGCAGTGTCAGCACTGCGTCTGGGGGTGTTGCCCAGGAGCGCGGGCAGGCGGCTGGCAGGCGTCTCGGGGCTCCCCTGTCTGTCGGTCTGTCCGTCTGCGGGGGGCCTGCGGTGCGCCCCCTCGTGGCAGCCGGGCGGACGGCGTGGACCCAGGTGGGGCGGCGCCGGCTGGGGTCACATCCCGCCCAGGGCTTGGCCGGACGCTGGGTGGGCGCAGGGCGACGGGGCGGCGGCCTCCGTGCACCCCTCGCCCGCGCCGCGCTGTCCCCCCGAGGCTCCCAGCCCTGCCTGCGGCTGCTCCGCTCCGGGGGCTGCGTCCTCCCACCCTGGGGCCGCCGCGGGGCTCACCCCCCACCCATTTCCCTCCCATCCAAAGGTCACGACTGGTAGCAAAGAAAACCAACAAGCGTTGGGTAAAAATTAAATGCGCGGACAGACGGTTCCAAAGTCCCGCTCCGGGGGCAGGGGCGGGGCGGGGCGGGGCGGGGGCTGCTCGTGCGGGGCTCCCCTTCCCCTGCACCCGCCCGCCCGGTGCCCGGCGGGCCTCCACCCCTGGAGCCGGGGCCTGGGGGCCCTCCCGCCCCGTCGCCGGCCTCGGTCCCGGATGCCCTGGGGGCCAGTACACCTGTCGGGGCCGAGGAGGCCGTGGGAGACGGCGCTGAGGGCTCCCGCGGGGCGTCCCGGTGCCAGAGGCCGCGGCGGGGGCGGGGCGGGGGCGGGGCGGGGGGCGGGGGGGCGCGACCGGCCACGACAGCCTCGGTCCGCGGCCCCGGCCCCGGCCCCGGCCCCTGGCACGCGGGCGGCTGCGGCGGCACAAAGGGCCCATTCAGGGCGCGCGGCCCCCGCCCCCCACCGCAGGGCCGGCGCGTGCGCGGGGGACGGAGCGGCGCCCCGGGGTGAGTGCGCGGCGGGGGCGGGCGCGGGCGGGGGCGGGGGCGGGGGCCGGCTGCACGTGCGCGGGGCCGGCCTGGGGGGCGCGCAGGGAGGGGGCGGGGGCAGGAGCTCGGAGCCCGCGGCCACGCCCCGCCCCCTACGCGCCCCGCGTCGGCCTGAGGACCCGGCAGGCGGGGCTGGGGGGGGGCAGGAGCGGGCGGGGGGCGGGGCGCCCTGCGAGCGGAGCTGCGTCCGGCCCAGGGCCCCCGGGGTTCCCCTCCCAGCGCAGTGTACTGGGCAGTTCGCAGCGGTGATTCCAGGCCCACATGCAGGAGCTGGCCCCGTGGCCCAGGGCTGGCCAGAAGGCCCGTGGGGGAGGTTCCAGGGGGTGAACCCCGCCGGTGAGGTCTGCAGCTGGGGGCGCAGGGCGGCGGGGGAGTGGGCCCTCGGGTCACGGTGGGGCAGACGGCGGCGCCCACCAGCGGCCTCCATGCACAGGGAGGTGGCGGGCGGGGCCCACGCCCAAGCCGCGGGTTGGGGGCTCCGGGCCCCAAGGAGCCCTCCCGGAACTATCCCCACCTGCCCGAGCCTCCCCCAGGCACTTGCGGCCCAGCGCCCCCAGACACTGCTGCCCTCCCCTTCCCGCACAGAGGCAGGGCCCCCTCCCACAGCGGGCCTCCACCCGGAGTCACCGGGGCCCACGCCAGCACCCAGCACGCACGTGCATGGCACCACCGCTCCGTGCACCAGAGACCTCTGTGTCACACAACTTGTGCCCCCCCCCCCCGGGGGTTTGCTCGGGGCTGAGCAGGAGCTGGGACAGGAGACAAAGGCCGAGCCCCCTCACCAGCCCCCTCACTGGCCTCGGCACCTGAGCGCCTACAGGCCCCAGGGACGCCCAAAGCTCTGAGCTGCCCCCCACGTCCGCCTGCGCCCCCGACACAGCTCCTGAGCTGGGCAAACAGCTGCGCGGGCCAAGGGGGTCCAGGCTGACTGTGGAGGGAAGACCCGAGCTCTGCCCCGGGAGCGCAGCAGGGGCTCCGGCCACGGCCACCCGTGGGGTGCGCCCTCTGCGCATGACCCCGAGATCCAGCTGGTGGAAGTGCACCTGCAGACTCCGCGGAAACACAACTGACTGACGGCGGAACATCACTTTAAAGACTGCCACCTGCGCCCCGCAACGAGTCACTGGTGGGGCACAGCTGCTGGTGCACACCCGGCCACGGCGTGTCCTGCTGCCTGCTGGCCGCCTGCCCTCGGCAATCCACACGCACGTGCACACGCACTTAGCAAGCGGCCTCTGCCCGCCCAGCACACAGAACGGAGCCTGGGGCCCTAGCGGCCCAGCGCACAGCGGGCGCGGGGACACGGCACCCACACTCCGGCAGAGACCAGCCCGTGTCACGGCAGAATGGGGGAGGATGGGGGGTGAAGACACCAGGCCTCCCGGGCCCTGCCCTCTGCCCACCCGTGGTCAGCCCTGACCGTGCACAGGCCCCGGAGCCTGGGGGTCACGGCCTGCCTGCCCCCACCCAGGCCTGGCTGCGCTCACGGGACACCCACCTCCCCAAGGACCCCAGCACCCGAGCACCCTGCCGACACGGGGCACCCTCGCCCACACTGTGCACACGCAGGGCGGCGGGGAGGCGCGCACAGTTGTTTGGGAGCTGGGCTCGCGGGCGGGCGGAGCACCTGGATTAGCCGCTCAGGTAACTCAGGTCTGGGGGAGCCCATGACTCAGCAGTCTCTGGGGTAAATCATTGAACCGCAAGCCCAGCTCGGCCAGCAGCCGGCGGCCCCCGCCCGGCCAGACCCCGCGGCCCCGGCCCCGCCGGCCAGCACAGCTGCCGGTCAGGGCTCCCGCAGGTAAGAGCCGCGGGGCTGCAGGACCGCGGAGTCCCGGGCGCACCGCGGGGCAGCCCCGCTGAAGGGGCCAGGGCGGCCTGGAGTCTCCGGAGACCCTGGGCACAGGCCTGGACCCTGGGGGCTCGGGCGGGGGGCCTGGGTGGGGAGGCCCTCCCGGGAAGGAACCACGACCCCAGGTCCCCCGGGGCTCACGGGGCCTGTGCCTGCCTGTCCTCCACTCCGAGTCCTGGGGGTTGAGCCACCTCGGAACAGGGGCGCAGCCGTGGGCTCTGACCCCGGGCCCACGTCAGGGCAGCCCCGGGTGCCCCAGCAGGGCACAGAGGCCACTCACCCCGACGTCCCTCCCCGCCGGCCCCGCTGACACCCCCCCCAAAGCACGTCCCGGAATTCCGCTGCAGGAACCCGGGGCGGCCAGCGCCGCTGTCGGAGCAGCCCTCCCGGCACAGACGCGGGGCCTCTGCATCGGGGGCATCCGGGGCATCCGGGGCCGTCTTCCTCCAAGCCCACGGTGCAGAGATGACGCAAGGGCGGCGAGGGTCCCGGGATGCAGAGGGGGAGGAGGAGGGGCCTCCGCCGTGTTGGGGGGGTGGGGGGCGGACCCCCCAGGGTACAGAGGTGATGGAAGGGTGGCTGAGGGTCCAGGGGTGCGGAGGGGGGGAGGAGGGGCCTCGGCCGTGCGTGGGGCAGGGCCGTTCAGGGAGGTGGCCGGCGAGCAGGAGAGAGGCCTGGGTCCCTGCGTGGCCCTCCGGCGCGGCCTGACGCCCCCTGCGTTGCAGGTTTTCCCCGGCACGTGGTTCGCCAGGATGGAGGTGTCCCCTGAGTGCCCGCAGCGGGGCGGGGGGCCGGTGCTGGTGCGCAGGCGGTCCCCGGTGCCCCTGGGCCTGCGCGAGACGCTCAAAGCCAGGCTGTGGCGCAGCTGCGCGTGCAGCACGCGGGGCGCCTGGGCGTGGGTGCAGGATCTGCTGCCCGCCACACGCTGGCTGCGCCAGTACCGGCCGCGGGAGGCCCTGGCGGGCGACGTCATGTCGGGGCTGGTCATCGGCATCATCCTGGTGCCCCAGGCCATCGCCTACTCGCTGCTGGCGGGGCTGCAGCCCATCTACAGCCTCTACACGTCCTTCTTCGCGAACCTCATCTACTTCGTCATGGGCACGTCCCGCCACGTGTCCGTGGGGATCTTCAGCCTGCTGTGCCTCATGGTGGGCCAGGTGGTGGACCGCGAGCTCCTGCTGGCCGGCTTTGGCCCTGCCCAGGACGGCCCCGGGCCCACGGCCAACGGTAGCGCCGCCAACGCCTCCGCCCCCGCCGCGGGGCTCGGGCCGCCGGACTGCGGGCAGGACTGCTACGCCATCCGCGTCGCCACCGCCCTCACCCTGGTGGCCGGGATTTACCAGGTGAGGGGCCGACCCCGAGGGAGGGCCAAGCCCAGGGCAGTGCGGGGTCGGGGCTCGGAGGACGCCGGCTTTAACCCACAAGGCCAGGACAGAGCGGGCACGGGCCCAGGTGGACTGGGCCGGCTCCCCAGGGTGGGCCCCCAGGCCTGCGGCCCCGACACGAGCAGCTGGCCCGAGTGTGGCCCACACGGCTCCCCGGTCTCCTGTCCCGGGCGAGACCCCGAGAGGCTGCCTCTCTTCCCGCAGCGTCCCCACACCCAGGGCTCTCCTGTCCACCCCAGTGTCACCCTCCGAGGGGCCCCAGGTCTTCCGGGAGGGGGCAGTGCCACTTGCAGGGCAGGAGGAAGGAGCTGCTTTCCAATGTCTGGAGCCCGCACGTGTGAGAGGACCAGACCGAGAACCTCCAGGGTCTGCTGTGCCTGTGTGAGCACACGTGTGTGCAGGGAACTCTGGACACGGTCCACTCGGGAAAGAGCAACAGCGACGAAGGGGCGTTAGGCTCCGTGCCACGGCCACCCTGTGCCGCCCGGCTGCCTGCTGCCCTGACCACACTCTGTCCTCAGGTCCTCATGGGCATCCTCCGGCTGGGCTTCGTGTCCGCCTACCTCTCCCAGCCGCTGCTCGATGGCTTTGCCATGGGGGCCTCGGTGACCATCCTGACCTCCCAGCTGAGGCACCTGCTAGGCGTGCGGATCCCGCGGCACCAAGGGCTGGGCATGGTGGTCAGCACGTGGCTGAGCCTGCTGCGCTCCATCGGCCAGGCCAACCTGTGCGACGTGCTCACCAGCGCCACGTGCCTGGTCGTGCTGCTGGCCGCCAAGGAGCTCGCAGACCGCTGCCGGCACCGCCTCAAGGTGCCACTGCCCACGGAGCTGCTGGTCATCGTGACAGCCACGCTGGTGTCCCACTACGGGCAGTTCCATGAACGCTTCGGCTCCAGTGTGGCTGGGGACATCCCCACTGGCTTCGTGGCCCCCCGGGTGCCGGACCCTGGGCTGATGTGGCGCGTGGTGCTGGATGCCGTGCCCCTGGCCCTCGTGGCGTCCGCCTTCTCCATCTCGCTGGCGGAGATGTTTGCCCGGAGCCACGGCTACTCGGTGCGAGCCAACCAGGAGCTGCTGGCCGTGGGCTGCTGCAACGTGCTGCCGGCCTTCTTCCACTGCTACGTCACCAGTGCCGCCCTGAGCAAGACCCTGGTGAAGACGGCCACCGGCTGCCGCACGCAGCTGTCCAGCGTGGTCAGCGCCGCCGTGGTGCTGCTGGTCCTGCTGGCTCTGGCGCCGCTGTTCCGGGACCTGCAGCGCTGCGTGCTGGCCTGCGTCATCGTGGTCAGCCTGCGGGGGGCCCTGCGCAAGGTGAGGGACGTGCCGCAGCTGTGGCGGCTCAGCCCGGCCGACGCGCTGGTGTGGGTGGCCACGGCGGCCACGTGCGTGCTGCTCAGTGTGGAGGCGGGGCTGCTGGCCGGCCTCGTCCTGTCTCTGCTCAGCCTGGCCGGTCGCACGCAGCGCCCCCGAGCGGTCCTGCTCGCCCAGATCGGGGACACGGGCTTCTACGAGGACGCCGCAGAGTTCGAGGGCCTGGTCCCCGAACCCGGGGTGAGGGTGTTCCGCTTCGCGGGGCCGCTCTACTACGCCAACAAGGACTTCTTCCTGCGGTCACTGTACGGCCTCACGGGGCTGGATGCCGGGCAGGCCGCCGCCAGGAGGAAGGAGCGGGGCCCGGGCGCAGGCGCGGGTGAGGGAGACGCCGTCGGGGGCGTGGACCTGGGCCCGGCGGGCAGTTCGGCCGCACTGGTGCCCACGGAGGGCGGCTTCCACGCCGTGGTCATTGACTGCGCCCCGCTGCTCTTCCTGGATGCAGCCGGCGTGGCTACGCTGCGGGACCTGCGCCGGGACTACGGGGCCCTGGGCATCACCCTGCTCCTGGCCTGCTGCAGCCCCTTGGTGAGGGACACCCTGAGGAGGGGTGGCTTCCTCGGGGACGACCCGGGGGACGCGGCCGAGGAGGCGCAGCTGTTCCACAGTGTGCATGGCGCCGTGCAGGTGGCCCGAGCCCGCCGCAGGGAGGCAGCAGCCACCGACTCCACCCTCTAGAGCCAGCGCCCGTCCCCGGGGCCCCCGGCAGGCAGGCTCCAGCTCGGTCACCCGTGTCCATCACCTCAACCCTCCAAGCGGAGGCTGTGCCCTCTGGCCTGGGGGAGCCAGGGAGCGCACAGGGACCCAGGCCCTTTGAAGCCAAGAGCTTCAACAGAGGTCCTGCAGGTCAACGTGATGCCGGGTGTCACCGTCTTATTTGAACAAAGGCCCCGACGTGGTCAGGATGCCTCCCAGGTGCCAATGGGGTACTGGTCCTTTGGCTTGTCCCGTCCCAGTCCCACTGCGGCCGGGGGCACGAGGATCTCTGTGTCTCTGGACTTCCAAACACACCCCCGGGTGTCCCCTAGCCTGCAGCCTGCAGGGCCCCTGGGCCGCGTTCCTCCAAGGCCTGACCTGTGAGCACAGGGCCGGGCTGCGTGGGTGCGTCCAGCCCCGGAGCCGCTGCAGGCGACACCACCTTGACCCTGAGCCCCTCAGTGAGCCCCACGGGGAGCCAGCTCTGCTCAGTCCAGGGGCCGCCCAGCCCCCACACAGCCTCTCCACCAGGGACAGCGTGCAGACGATGGGGGCCCCCTCCCTCCTGCCTCCCGCCCGCCTCTGCACCTGACCTGCCCCAGCCTCGGTCTCCAGCCCCCGGCCGGCTCTCCCAGCCGCCCCCCACTCACCTGGCCGTGATGAGCTCCAGCAGCCAGTGGGTCCGGACCTGCTCGATGCCCCCGTGAGGGACAGCACCCACATAGGCCAGGTTGAGCTGCTGGTCCCAGCTGAGGTCATAGCGGTCAGCCTGGCTGTGCGGCAGGGGGGGGCTGGGGCAGAGCGAGGGGGGCGGGGCATTAGTGCCCCCGACGGCCCGGGAGGCCCAGGACGCCCAGGACGCCAGGCTCCAGCAGCCGGCCTGGGCAGTGCCTGCCAACCCCCGCTCCGCCCCGGAATAAAAAGTGACCCGAGAGCAGGAAGGCTGTGGTGGAGGCTCGTGCTTGCGGAGACCGGGAGACCGGGCTCGGAGGGGACGGGACCACACGCCGGCACCCTGCTCCTTCTCCCCTGGGCGGGGCCGCAGCGAGGGCCGGGGCAGGGGGGGAGCCGAGGTCGCGGCGCCTGCCCCTGCACGTCCTGGCCCCTGCCCCTCCCGCGGGCCCGGGTGCAGCCGCGAGGGCGGGGCCGCGGCTCTCCCGCGGGCCACGGGGGCCCAGAAGCCCGGGCCGGGCCTGTCGGGCCTCAGTTTCCCCGCGCGGAGCCCTCACCAGAAGCCGGTGCTCCTCCAGAAGGGCCGCAGGGGCCGCAGCGCGCGGGCCGCGTCCACGAGCACCAGGTGCGGGGCCTCTGCGAGGGCCCGGGGCGCCGCCAGCAGCGCGGCCAGCAGCGCCAGCCCGGGGGCGCGGGGGCCGGGGGGCCGCATGGCCGGGCGCGGGGGCGCGGGGGCGCGGGGGCGCGGGGGCGCGGTCCCCACAGCGCTCCGGGAGCCCGGGTCTACGCCGCGCCGGCCGGTTCCGCGTCCGGGTCGCACACCACGTGACCGCCGCCGCGGGGGCGGGGGCGGGGGCGGGGGCCCGGGCGGAGTGGGGGGGGGCCGGGGTCTGGGTGGGTTCTGGGGCCGCGGGGCGGGGCGGGGGCGGGGGCTCCGTGGGGGCGGGGCCTTTGTGGAGGGGCGGTGTCGCTGGGGGCGGGGCCTCGTGGACGGGCGGGGCCTCGGGGCGGGGCCTTGTTGCGGGGGCGGGGTAGGTGAGGGGCGGGGCCTTGCTTGAGGAGGCGGGCGCCTCGGGGGGGCGGGGCTGACGAAGGGGCGGGGCCTTTTGTGGAGGGGCGGTGTCGCTGGGGCGGGGCCTCGGGGAGGGGCGGTGCCACTGGGGCGGGGCCTTTTGCGGGGCGGAGTAGGTGGGAGCAGGGGCCTTGTTGCGGGGGCGGGGCCTCGGGCCTCGGGGCGGGGCTCCGTGGGGGCGGGGCCTTTGTGTGGAGGGGTGGTGTCGCTGGGGGCGGGGCCTGTTGCGGGGGCGGGGCTGGGGCGGGGCCTTGTGGAGGGGTGGTGTCGCTGGGGGCGGGGCCACTGGGGGCGGGGCCTTGTTGCGGGGGCGGGGGGGCCTGGGGCGGGGCGGGGCCGCAGCCTGCGGTCCCGGAGCGCCGCCCCTCGGCGGCCGGGTCCTCCCGCGGTTCCCCGCCGCCCGCAGAGGAGCCTCTGCTCGGGCCAGGCGGCCCCTGGGCGGCCCCCGACATGCGGCGGTGAGGCTCGGCGCGGGTGCGTGGGGCGAGGGCTGGGAGCAGGGTCCGCGGGCAGCCGCGCAGCCTCCCGCCCTGAACTCTCCGCCACCGCGAGGCCCGGCGCCCGTGCTGCTGTGCTCAGGTCCGGCCCGGCCCGTGCTCAGGACGACCGGGACCGCAGCCCGCGAGGGCCCGCCCCCGGGCGGGTGTCAGAAGCCGTGTCCGAAGAGCCCAGGCCGGTGGTTGTCCAGAGGCGCGGGAGGCCTGCAGGCGCGGCGGAAGCAGAGCCCGGAGCCCCGGAGCCCCCAGCACAGGCACAGGCACAGGCCCGCTGCCCCCGGGCCTGGGAGGGAAGCGCCGAACCCGCGGCGAGGACACCAAGACCCGGAAACGAAGAGCCGGGAGCCAGAACGCCTAATCCAGCAGGAACCATACTCGAAAGACAGGTCAAGGGCAGCCCCGTGGCTCAGCGGTTTAGCGCCGCCCGAAGCCCAGGGTGTGCCCCGGGGTCCCGGGATCGAGTCCCGCGTCGGGCTCCCTGCAGGGGCCTGCTTCTCCCTCGGCCTGGGTGTCTGCCTTTCTCTTTCTGTGCGTATCTCATGAATAAACAAAATTCTTAAAAAAAAAAAAAAAAGGAGAGACAGTCAAATAAAGACGTTTCAGAGAAATGGAGGCTGAGGACCTCGGTCAGCGCCAGCCTCACCTGGCTGCAGAGTACCCAGCACAGCCAGGGGTACCGGGAGGGTACCTTGTACACAAACCTACGCAAAACCGGGAGCCCTGGTGGCTCAGGGCTTCAGCACCTGCCTTCAGCTCAGGTCGTGACCCAGGGTCCTGGGATCGAGTCCCATGTTGGGCTCCCTGCATGGAGCCTGCTTCTCCCTCTGCCTGTGTCTCTGCCTCTCTCTCTCTATCATGAATAATAAATAAAATCTTAAAGAAAAAAAAACCTACGCAAAACCATAGTGTCAGGGCTGCTGGGGCTTGAATACAGCAGAGGATTGGGGCGTAAGATGATCACACAGAAGCTGTGAGTGGAATAAAGGCCGTGATCAGCAGGCCCACTGCGCTGCCCACTGTCCGCGGTCCTCACCCCAGGGCCTCTGCGTGTGACCGTATGTGGCAAAGGGACTTGCAGGCCTGATTAAGTTAAGGATCTTGAGATAATCCTGGATGATCCGGATGGGCCTCACGTGTCATCACAGCCTCCTCGTGAGGGGGAGGCAGAGGAACCGTGACCCGGGAGCGGCCCTGGAACACCTCAGAAGAGAGAGATTCGGAGCCTGTTCTGAAGTTCCTGCTCAGGGTCTGTGTAAGCAGGTGCAGTAAGACGCGCACGGGAAACGATGGCCATGAAGGAAGAGGTTCATAGACATCCCGAGAGACAGGAGGCCAGGGACCAGGCCACCCAGGAACCCAACAGGTGGGGCGAGGTCGGAAAGGGCCTCACGGGACGAGGGTCGGTGACACAGAGGCTGACCACACCCCCCTTGGGCACAGGGAGGGCCGCAGGAAGGCTCCTGAGGTTCGTGCCAGCTGCGCACTAGGCAAAGGGCCCTTCATTGAGGGAGTTCGGGGCCTGGGGCCAGATGGGGACCCGATGGGGGGCCCAGCCATTGGGCTGGGGTAGGATTGGGATTGCGAGAAAAGCGTGGCATCTCCCAGGGACAGCGGCTCAGTGCGGCCTGCCAGGACGCAGCAGGTTAGCGACGGGGCTCGTGGTTACCGCGTGCGTAGCTCTGCAACTGCAAAGGGCGAGCGTGTCGTGCTCAGGACGCACATGGTGGCCTGGGCGTACCTGGAGACGCACGTGCTCTTCGGGGATAGGGTTGGCATCTTTGAGGCAAGAGATTCCCAGCGTTCTTCCTCAAGGGCCAGTGTCTCGGCGACGGCCCGACGTGTACGAGTGTGGAGACAGGCGCCGTCGCCGGGGCACGCGCTGCGCCGGGTCTGGGTCCGTCCATGCAGGGCCGTCCTGCGCCCAGCGGCCGGGGTGCCGTTCACACGGCCTGCCAGCTCCCGGGGGCTCCCGGCAGCCGGGGCCTGGGGACGAGTGTTGCCAGTGGGAGCCAACGGGACCCTGTCCAGGAGTCCCCTCGGAGGGCTCGGGGGGCCGTGCAGCACCCATGGGTGGGGGGAGGCACACGCGGCCTTCGGGTCGGCCCAGAGCCGCAGTCTCAGCCCATGGGCAAGAGCAAACCCTTCTCCCATGGCTGGGTAGGTTGTAAATGGCTTGGGGGACTGGGTGTGGGGCCCCGATGGGTGCGAGCACGGCCCCAGGTTGTGCCGATCCACCGCTAGTCGCTCTTAATTTTTCCAGGCAAAGTCAGGCGTGCGTTTTCTCCCTTCTTCTCTTTTTCTTTCCTTCTGGTTTCAGGCTTTTCACTGAAGCCTCTGGCTGGCGGGAGGGAGCTGGGAGGGAAGGGCCGGCGGGCGCCTCCCCTGGGCCGGCACCCTTCCCCGTCCTCCTCCTAGGCCGAATCTTACATTTTCCCTCTGAAACACAGTCTGGCTTGAACCTCCTTGCACGTAACCCCCCCACCCCGCACCCCTGACTCTATTTACCTATTTTCTTCATTCTCAATGCTCCGGCATCTGGGGTCGTGGTCCCGGGGCCCCTCTGGCACCACGCGGCTCCTGGAGAGGAGCCCAGGCCCCCGACGTGTCTCACACACGCCAAGCCAACCGCCTTCCCCCACAGCACCCCAAGGCCAGGCACGAGACACCTGGGGACTGCGCTGCAGCCTGGGCCTGCGAAATTCTTCAGACCACCCAATCCTCACCCCAGAAAAGGCTCTGGGCCAGGTTTCCTTTGCTCCGGCTTCTGGTTTCTGCTTCCCCTGGGGCCCACCGAGTGTGGTGCACCCCCTTCTCTTGGGAAACGTGAGTAATAAATCACCCTTCCAAGGGCAGAGCTTCCGTTGCTGTCACCTAACCCCATCTGATTAAAACACGTCCTGGGCGGGGGGCCCAGTGGGGCAAGCGGGCAAGCGTCAGCTCAGGGTGTGACCCCCGGGTCCTGGGATCCAGGCCCACATCCGGCTCCCTGCTCCGTGGGGCGTCTGCTTCTCCCTCTCCCTCTGCCCCCCCCCCGCCCCCCGCTCACTCTCTCTCTTTCTCAAATAAATAAATAAATACGATCTTTAACAAAAACCCTGGGTACACATTTTAAGGTAAAGATGCTGCGGTTCAATGATGGAGGAAGGGGCCACGAGCTCGGGAAGGCGGGCTCACACTCTGGAGGACAGAAGCCAGCAGGCGTGTGAAGGAGCGCGGCCCGCCCGCCGGGAGCACCTGCCGGCTGGGGTCAGGACGGCGGAGGTGGACAGGGGCGCAGCAGCTCGCAGGCTGGCGGGTTCCCGCAGGGCCTTGGTGGTGCTGTCAGGGCAGATGGCTCCGTACAGTTTGCTAAAGGACGACAGGAGGACCGCAGGGGTCCCCGCCACCCCAGCTCCCCGTGCTTCCCCGCCTGCCGGGGCCTCTGGGGAGGTGGCGAGCCTTCTGGGATCGTGGATCCGCCACGGGGACGCCAGGGGCTGGAAACCTCAGGTGCGGTTTAGCCGAGCGGCGAGCGTATTTGTGGTGTTCCCAGTCACTTCCTTGCGTCGCGGAGTCAACGCCAGTCACCCTGGCACAGGAAACAGCTTCCAGGAATGGCCGTGGCAGTTAACCCGAAGGACTGGATCACGTGGACTTTCGCAACAGGATTAAACATTTGCTGCTTTACCAGGAAATGCTGACACCGAGATAACGTGCAGCCCTCGCGGCCAACGTGACAAGGACGCGATGGAAGAAGGCTCATCCGATCCGTGGGGGCGCCTGGGACCAGGCACGGCACGCTTGCCAGCCTGTGGGCGACACCTGCCGACGGCCCCTGCAGACCCGGGTGGTGGCCGCGGTGGCTGCGAGCTGTGGGGAGGGAGCTGTCCGGCCAGGACGTCGGTGGAGCAGCACACACGGCGTTAGAGACTCGCAGTTCTCCTCTTTTCTCCCTGGAAAGTAATATTGAAAATTGTTACAAGAAGAAACAATAAAAAATGTCACTGTGGGCAGCCCGGGTGGCTCGGCGGTTTAGCGCCACCATTGGCTCAGGGCCTGATCCTGGGGTCCTGGGATCGAGTCCCACGTCGGGCTCCCTGCAGGGAGCCTGCTTCTCCCTCCGCCTCTCTGTGTGTGTGTGTCTCATGAATGAATAAATAAATAAAATCTTTTTAAAAAAATGTCACCGGGACGCCTGGGTGGCTCAGCGGTTAAGCGTCTGCCTTCAGCTCAGGCCATGATCCCGGAGTCCCAGGATCGAGTCCCACGCCGGGCTCCCTGCGTAGAGCCTGCTTCTCCCTCGGCCTGGGTCTCTGCCTCTCTCTCTCTCTCTCTCTCTCTCTCTCTCTCTGTGTGTGTCTCTCATGAATAAATAAATAAAACCTTTAAAAAAATGTCATCGAGAAACATATGATGATGGGGAGTTGCAGGCAGTTATGAATAAAAATCCTGGTATTTTCTGGGTTTGGGGATGTTTGTGCTATTAGTCAACTTCTAAAAAGAGGGTGATTTCTTTTTCTTTTTCTTTTTTTTTTAAGAGGGTGATTTCTTATCTGCCCTGGATGCGGACGGCTGAAGGGCTGAAGCTCTATGGTGATTCGCATCCCGACTTAGAGATGCTGCCCCGGGCGGGCCTGTGCCCACTGCCACGGCCGGCGGACTCGGGAGACAAACCGGGATCCTCCGCCCCGAGCAGGCAGGAGCTCCACCGGCTCCGAGGCCCCGGGAAGGACCGCGGTCGGCCTGCTCACGACAGCCACCACCCAGCGAGCCGGGATGTCCTGCGCGGAGGCGGCGCTGACCGTCACACGTCCATATCCACGGCCCTGGAATCGCCCACCGGCCCACTCACGAAGCCGCGTCTGTAAGCCCACAGTCCACAGTCCCCGCACTTCCTCGGTCATTCGGGGACACGCACCGAGCACCGAGAAGTGAGAGTGGCCCGGCGTCCCCCGTGGCGGCAGAGCAAGGCAGCGCACAGCTCACGCAGGAAAGCAGCGTCCTTTGTGGGGTCTCTCTGGGCCGCTTTCCCCTCACTTTGTGCTTCTGGCCGGTGGCCCTGGCCCGACGTGCCCCCTGCGTGGTGCTGGAGATCCTGGGCCCCCAGCGCCCACGGCTGTGACGGCGAGCTGCGCGGGTTCCGACCGGGCCAAGGTCGGTGGCGCCGGTGCCACGGTTCCTCATGGGTCTGCAGTGTCTTGGATGAGGGACCTTTAAGCGGAAGCCGCACGAAACAGGGCTCTGCGTGGACCCGTTGGCAAGAGCCCTGCGACCAGGGGCTCCCAGGAGGCCGAGCCTGCATTTCTCCAGGAGCCCTGGTTCCCTGTCCCTGTGGTCCCGGTTCTGGGGTGTGGGCGCGCGGCTGGGGAGTGTGGACTGCAGCGGACACAACTGTCCCCTCCAGAGCATGTGACGAACTACGAGTCATTAAGGAAAAGACGCTTGAGAGAAAAATGGTGGAGCTCGGGCCAGGGCCTTATGGGAAGAGCGGCAGGTGGCAGATGAAGCTGGGGCAAGGGTCTGGAGCCTTCCTCACCACCAAACCTACCAGAAAGGCTGAAATTGTGAAACCGAGCGTGTGCAGGGTTGTCAGAAACGCGCAGCGGAGGGAACCCTCCTACGTTGCCAGCGGACATAACATTTTTATTTCTGTGCGGGTTTATTTTTCTCCGGCGTTACCTGGTAGAGGGGAACGCAGCATGTCCTGTGGCCCAGCTGTGTCACTCCAGGGGCCGCGCGTCCATGGGCCAGAGTTCCTGGAAGCATTTTTTCCCAACAGCCGAGGTCCGGCAACCATGCGGCAACCAGGTCAGAGCAGCAGACGCGACCGTCGTCCCCCTGCAGTGGAGCGGCCGTGTGCGCCCCACGTGACCGGCAATAAAGATGCCCAGCCATGGTCTCGAGGGTGCGAGTGCCGGTCACCCCACGGTGTGCAGCCGGCCAGCCCCGGGGCTTTGACGGGGTTCCGGTAGCAGAGCGTCACGGACGGAGTGGCCTCGACAACGCAGTCACTCCGTCACTGATTCGTGTGTTGAGACTCTCACCCCCACGGATGGCCCGCGGGGTGGGGCCTTGGAGGGCGGTAGTGGGGACAGGGACGGGGTCAGGGCCCTGTTCGGAGACACCGCCCACCTCGTGCTCCCTCTGCTGCCCGTGAAGGCTGCCATGTGCGAGTCAGGACGACCCCCCTGAACGTGGCTGTGCGCCCCCCGACCTCGGGCCTCGGCCTCAGCCCCGGGAGGGGGAAGCGCTGTGCCTGCGCTGCTGTGCGGGGCTCCGAGGCCGCCGAGGGAGCACGGACGTGGGGGCGCCAGGCGGGAGGAGGTGTGTCCCGCCTCTGCTACGAGCTGCCAGGTGCTTTGGCAGGTGGCAGGGGTGGCTTTGAGGGTGGCGTGTCAGGGGGCGGGCTGTGCGGGACGGCAGCCCTCCTCAGGCGCTCCCCGCCCCTCAGGCCCCAGGGTCTGCTCCTCCGGAAGCCCGTGGGGGCGGCTGCCCTCCCAGGGCCAGGAGGCAGGTGGGGGCTGGGGCCGGGGCCTCCCTGGTGACTTGGGACAGGGCCGAGGGCAGGGTTGGGCAGCGGGTGGGTGGAAGGCAGCCGGCGGGTGCTGGGAGGAGACCAGGAGAGGGGAGCGGACCCTGCCCCCTAGGACCTGTCTCTGCTGCTGCCTCTGTGCCTCTGCAGCCTGCAGCTGGAGCCGCCCTGGGGACCCTGTCCCCTGGGGACCCTGCCGTCTCCCTGCAGGCCCAGCTCACCTCCGGGCATTGCCTTCCTGCGTCCCGGGTGCGGGTGCGTAGTCCCTCCCCTGGGTCCTTATCTTCCGCTGGCTGCACCCCCACCCTGTTTTTCTCCTCCTCTGGGACCTGGGGCTCTACCCTTCCCGGCACCCAGGGGAGCCAGCCCCTGCTTGTCCTGCCAGGGTGGGCGCGCGGCGGGAGGACGGCCCACCAGCCGCAGGAGGGAACCGCACCCACCGGGCGGGTCCCCAGGAGCCCCCGGCCCACGACGCCCCTTTCGGTCAGGCCCACAGAAGGGACCCGGTGGTTGTGGGCGGGGATGGGGTCAGGGTGGCCTTGGTGGACGCGCCGCCCGCTGGTCCCCGCCCGCTGGTCCCCGGCGCTGCCCGGGCCTCTCCTAGCGGGGCGGGGCGGGGCGGGGCGAGGAGGCCACCGCAGCCCCGGGGGAACCGAGGCGCCCGCGGAGGGGGCCGGCCCCTCGGGCCTTCCCGGAGCCGTGGGGGGGGGGGAGGCACCGCGCCAGGTGGGGGTGCCCGCCCCGGCTGCCCGGACCCCCGGTGCCTTCCCAGCCGCTGAGGACACGGCCGCGCCCTCGCCCTGTCGGGCAGGCAGGACCCACGCGGCGAGGATCCACGCGGGCCGGCGGCGCAGGAGGGGCGGGGGCGCGGGCGGGGGCGCGGGCGGGGGCGCGGGCGCGGGCGGGGGCGGGGGCGCGGGCGGGCCTGGGCTGCAGACCCCGCCCTCTGGCCCCCGGGCTGGGCCGCGGCGCGGGCAACCACGAACCGCCGGCGGGACCCGCGTGTCGCGTGGGAGGTGTCCGTGTGCGCAGGCGCGGGTCAGGGCAGGTGCAGACGCGCGGCGGGGAGCCCCAGCCGGGTCCCCAGGCCTCCTGCCGGCCGGCGCGGCCCCCCTCGCGCGGCCCCGCCCCCGCCGCCCGGCCCCGCCCCCGGCCCCGGCCCCGGCCCCGCCCCGGCCCCGCCCCCGAGCGCGCGCGTGCGCAGTGGCGGCGGGCGCAGTCGGAAGCCGGGCGCGGACCGCGGGGTCTGCGGGAGGCGGCGGCGGCAGGCGGGAGGCGGGAGGCGGCGGCGGCAGGCGGCGGCCCCCGTCGCCCGCAGCGCGGACCCGGCTCTCGCCCGCCGCCGGGGCTCGGGCGCCCGGGCGGGGATGGCGGCGGCGGCCGAGCCCCGGGCCCGCGCCTGGCTCGGCGGCGGCTCCCCGCGCTCGGGCAGCCCGGCCTGCAGCCCCGAGCTAGGCGGCCGAGGCCGCGCGCGGGCGGGAGCGGGGCCGGGCCCCGGGGCGGGCGGGAGCCACCCCCCCCCCAGAGCGGCCACAGCTTCCGGAAGGCGACGCTCACCAAGCCCACCTTCTGCCACCTGTGCTCCGACTTCATCTGGGGCCTGGCGGGCTTCCTGTGCGACGGTGAGCGCCGCGGCCCGGGGGCGGGGGCGGGGCGGGGGCGGGGCGGGGGGCCCGCGCCCTGGCCTGGGGTGGCCTCCCGGACCGGACCGCGGTCCGTCCGAGCACTGCGCCCGCCTCCCCTGCCCGCCCGCCCGCCCGCCCGCCAGGCCGACAGGCTCACCTGAGGCTGCAGACGCGCTTGGGCAGGCTGACTCAGCTTTAGGTCTGACGGTGGGCCAGGGCCTGCACAGGGCAGGGGTGGCGGGGCAGGGCTCAGGGTCAGGCTGGATCCAGGCCCCGCACAGGTGAAGGGTGGCGGGGCAGGGCTCAGGGTCAGGGTGGGCCAGGGCCTGCACAGGGCAGGGGTGGCGGGGCAGGGCTCAGGGTCAGGCTGGATCCAGGCCCCGCACAGGTGAAGGGTGGCGGGGCAGGGCTCAGGGTCAGGGTGGGCCAGGGCCTGCACAGGGCAGGGGTGGCGGGGCAGGGCTCAGGGTCAGGCTGGATCCAGGCCCCGCACAGGTGAAGGGTGGCGGGGCAGGGCTCAGGGTCAGGGTGGGCCAGGGCCTGCACAGGGCAGGGGTGGCGGGGCAGGGCTCAGGGTCAGGGTGGGCCAGGGCCTGCACAGGGCAGGGGTGGCGGGGCAGGGCTCAGGGTCAGGCTGGATCCAGGCCCCGCACAGGTGAAGAGTGGCGGGGCAGGGCTCAGGGTCAGGGTGGATCCAGGCCCCGCACAGGTGAAGAGTGGCGGGGCAGGGCTCAGGGTCAGGGTGGGCCAGGGCCTGCACAGGGCAGGGGTGGCGGGGCAGGGCTCAGGGTCAGGCTGGATCCAGGCCCCGCACAGGTGAAGGGTGGCGGGGCAGGGCTCAGGGTCAGGCTGGATCCAGGCCCCGCACAGGTGAAGGGTGGCGGGGCAGGGCTCAGGGTCAGGCTGGATCCAGGCCCCGCACAGGTGAAGGGTGGCGGGGCAGAGCTCAGGGTCAGGGTGGGCCAGGGCCTGCACAGGGCAGGGGTGGCGGGGCAGGGCTCAGGGTCAGGGTGGCCCAGGCCCTGCACAGGGGAGGGGTGGCGGGGCAGGGTTCAGGGTCCCTCGCAGCCAGGACTTCCTGCAGGTGCGGCTCTAGGTCTAAAGGGCGAAGCAGCTCACGGAGGAGGCAGGCTTGGGGTGGCACAGAGGCCACCAGTGGGCCACTGTGTGGACACCCCCCCACCTCGTGCAGAACAGGGGTAATCTTGGTCAACAGAGGGGCCTGAGGCGGGTGTGGCAGGAAGAGCGTCCTCCCCGGCGGGAGCACCCGGGGTGTGGGGTGCGGGGGGGCCAGGCACTATCTCCGCGGCCGGAGGTCCATCTGTGCGCCGCTGCCCTCCGCGTCGGAGCTGGTCTGGGCCTGGAGGGGGGCCCGCTGGGTGCCCCCCTCCCTGTCTGCCTCTCCCTCCACTGACCCCAGCCTTCTGAGGTGTTCTGATGCCAGGCAGCTGCCGCCAGCCTGGGGGGGACCTGTGTGTCCCCTCCCTCCTCCCAGGGACGGGTGGGCAGGGCCCTCTCTAGGCCCCCCCCCCACATTTCACCAAAGGCTCTGCTGGACGGTGAGTCCTGCACCTGCCGCCTCCCCAGGGAGCCTTGTCCACCCGTCCCAGCCCAGGCCCCCTTGGGCCCACTCGCTGCAGGTGCTGCCACGAGCGGCTTCCCCTCGCGCCCCTCCCCCGTCCCGTCCATCTCCAGGCCTCCCTCCCTAGAGGCCCGTACCCCAGGGTGGGCGGCCCCGTGGAGCACAGCACGTGCCTTTACAGTCTCGGGGCCGGGGCAGCCGTCACCGGGCTGCCGTCCTGCCTGCGTCGGGGTCCTGGCCACGACAGCCCGGCTCTGGTCTGAGCAGGTGCACGACACGTGGGAGGGTCACGAGGGTGTTGAGAGCTGCGGGTCTGGGGGGATGCGGGAGGCGCCCGCGTACCTGCCGGCACCAGGGGCCAAGCAGCAGGTTGGGAGGAGAGCTGGCCGGTGTGCGAGGGGCAGGACTAGGGCACAGCCTGTCCCCACGTGGGCTCCCGACGGAGGAGGGGGTCACGGTCTCCATCCCCCAGGGCTGGCTTGTGGGGGGGCGGGCGGGCCCCCGTGAGCTCTGGCAGGGTGGGCCTGTGGCAGGCGCACGCCCCGTCCCGGGCTGGCCCCGCCGCGGCCCTTGGCGCCGCCGCCCTCCGTGTGCCGAGGCCGGGGTCTCGGCGCTGGGGCGGGGCGGGAGCCAACTGCCGCTGCTGTCGTTCCGCAGTCTGCAATTTCATGTCCCACGAGAAGTGCCTGAAGCACGTGAAGACCCCCTGCGCGAGCGTGGCCCCCAGCCTCGTCCGAGTGCGTATGGACAGTGGGCAGGGCCGTGGGGAAGCTGGCTCCGTGGCTGGTCCCGGGCTGCGAGTCCCACTGGCTAGCTGGGGGGGGTGGGGGGAGCCCGGCCAGGGGAGGATGAGGGGGGCTGGGCTAGGGAATGGTGGGGGGGAGCCCGGCTGAAGGATGGGGGGGCTGGGCCAGGAGATGGGGGGAGCTCGGCCAGGGGATGGTGGGGGCAGCCAGGCTGGAGGATGGGGGGGGGAGTCCAGCTAGGGGATGGTAGGGGGGACCCCGGCCAGGGGGTGGTTGGGGGGAGGCCGGCTCGCAGGATGGGGGCAGCAGAGCCGTCCTTTGTGCGACCGCACCCCTGCTGGTGAGCCCCTCCTGGGGCGGCAGCCGGGCGCCCTCCCCGTGTCCGTGACCCCCGTCTGGAGCCCCTGCCTGTCTGCGGGCCGCCGGGCGCCGCTTCACCAGGTGGCCCAGACGTGGGGGCCCCCCCGGGGCCGGTGAGGGAGCTGCGTGGCGAGGGCCGGGGGGGCCCGGGGCCGAGCACAGCGGGGAGGGCCGGCGGGGCAGGACCGCGGGCAGGGGGTGAGGCTGCCGGCGGCGGGCGAGGTGGATCCGCTCCCTCAGGTGCCCGTGGCCCACTGCTTCGGCCCCAGGGGGCTCTACAAGCGGAAGTTCTGCGCCGTGTGTCGCAAGGGCCTGGAGGCCCCCGCGCTGCGCTGTGAAGGTACCGCCACCGCCCTGACCCGCCCCAGGGCCCTGGTCTCTGCCGCCCGGGGTGGGGGTGGGGGGTTCGGGGGCTCCCCTCACCGGGAGCGGGGCAGGGCGGGCAGCAGAGGTGAGAGGCTGACCCTGCCCGCCCAAGGGGGGACCAAGGACGGGCCTGGGCCCCTCAGAGCTGCCCCAGGGAAGGGGCAGGGCTGGGGGAGCGGCGAGAGGCCCTGAACCCTGCCCGCCCCTCAGTGTGTGAGCTGCACGTTCACCCCGAATGTGTGCCCTTCGCCTGCAGCGACTGTCGCCAGTGCCATCACGACGGGCACCGGGACCACGTGAGTGCACGGCCTGGGGGGCGCGGGGCGCGGGGGCGGCCGGCCACTGACGGCGCCTCCTCCGCAGGACGCTCAGCACCACCACTGGCGGGAGGGGAACCTGCCCTCCGGAGCGCGCTGCGAGGTCTGCAGGAAGACGTGCGGGTCCTCAGACGTGCTGGCCGGCGTGCGCTGCGAGTGGTGCGGCGTGCAGGTGGGGGCCCTGGCGGGCGGGGTCCTGGGGCAGGGCGCGGCCCCCCACCCCGGACTGCGTCTTACTCTGTCGGGGACCTGGTGTGAGGGTGGCTCCCGCCCGCTCCGCCCGGCCTGGGGAGGGGCCCCGGGCCCTGCGTGGCCCCCGCACAGTTGAGGGCCGCCCTTGCCCCCCCCAGGCCCACTCGGTCTGCTCCGCCGCGCTGGCCCCCGAGTGCACGTTTGGGCGCTTGCACACCCTGGTGCTGCCCCCGCGTGCGTGCGCCTGCTGTCCCGCAACTTCAGCAAGATGCACTGTTTCCGCATCTCGGAGAGCGCGGTCCCAGAGCCAGGTGAGGGGGCGGGCGCCGGGGGTGCCGGCTGGGGGCCGGGGTGGATGGGCCCTGGGAAGAGCTCGGCTGTGCCCCTCCCACAGGTGACGACGACGACGGGGTGGACGGGAGCACCCCCGCTGGCCTGGGCAGGGAGGCCCCAGAGTCCAGTAAGTGCTGCCTGTCTTGGTCCCTGTCCCCAGCCCCGTCGCCCCACCCCCATCCCGTGGCCCGTGTTTCCATCCCCTCCCCCGCTCCGTGGATTCAGACCCATTCCCGTGGCCCAGGCAAGCTGACCCTGAAGATCTTCGACGGCAACGACGCTCTGCAGAGAAACCACTTCCGAGTCATCAGCGTCCCGCGCCTGGCCAGGAGCGAGGAGGTGCTGGTAAGAGCCCCCGGGTGGGGCCGAGGCAGGGCCCCTCCGTCCCGGGGTGCTGGTGGCTGGTGGCCGGCTCACCCCGCTCCCGCTCCCGTCCACACCGGCCCCGCCCTGCAGGAGGCGGCGCTGCGGGCTTACTACGTCCTGGAGGACCCTCGGGACTTCGAGCTGCAGCCAGTCCCCGCGCCCGTGCCGGCGGGTGACTCAGGGGCGCGGGGCAGGCCGCGGGGGAGCGGGGCCGCAGAGGAGGAGGGCGGCAGAGGCCCCGAGGCCTGGATCGTCCGCGCCGTGCCCCACGCGCAGGAGCTTCTGAGGATCTACCCCGCGTGGCTCAAGTGAGACCCAGGCCCGAGGCCCAGGCTCTGTGGAGGGAGTTGGGGGTGGGGCCCTGCGACCCACGCTCCTGGGATTGTTCCGCAGGGTGGGTGTGGCCTACGTGTCCATCCGTGTGACCCCACAGAGCACGGCCCGGACCGTGGTGCTGGAGGTTCTCCCGCTGCTCGGGCGACAGGTGCGTATGCGGCGGGGGGCCTGGCTGGCGGCGGGGGGTCTGGCTGGCGGCCTGGCCCTGGGGCGCAGCCCCGTGAGACGGGCCCGGGCTGGTAGGGGGTCCCGGCCTGATGCCTCCCACTGCGCCCTCCACAGGCCGAGGGTCCTGAGGGCTTCCAGCTGGTGGAGGTGCTCATGGGGAGCCGGCAAGGTGAGTGGGTAGCCTGGCGGGGTGTCCCCCGATCCCCGCCTGGGGCCCCGAGCCCTGGTCCTCACCGGCCTCGTCTGTCGTCCCCGCAGTCCAGCGGACGGTGCTGCAGGACGCAGAGCCCTTGCTCGCCCGGCTTCGCGACATCCGGCAGGTCATTGGGTGTGAATGCTGGTCCCTGCGTCGCAGTGGGGAGCCTGCCCCTGGGGCCTGCGGGCGTCCTGGCTGCTGGTGCTGCCCCTCCCGGGCCAGGCGCTCAGCTGCTCCCTGATGTCCCCCTCCCTGGAAGGTGGGGTTCCCAGCCCCGGGCTGCCCCAGGGGAGTGGGGGCCGCCCCTGGGAGCAGGCCTTTCCGTCGCTCGTGGTTCAGCCGGGGCACCTTCCCAAGGGTGCCTCTGTGGGTGAGGACGTGGGGGGCCAGGTGCCCCCCCGGTGCCCGCTCAGTGCCTTGCTTCCCCCACAGACGTCCCTGCGGCAGATGAGCCAGACGCGCTTCTACGTGGCCGAGAACAGGGTCGTGGCCCCGCACGTCTCCCTGTTTGTGGGGGGCCTGCCTCCCGGCCTGTCTGCCCAGGAGTATGCCAGCCTCCTGGACGAGGCCGTGGCTGCCAAAGGTGTGACCGCCTGGGCTGGCCCGGGGCTACTGGGGCCAGGTCCCAAGGTCCCACGTGGGTCTGTCCTGTCTGCAGCCTGGGCGGCTGGTGCCGAGCTGAGGTCGGGCTTCCTGGGGTGGGTGCGGGGACGTGCGGGGACGTGCGGGAGCCCACGTCCCCGCGGGCCCTGATGGCAGCCTGTGCTTGCAGCTGGCCTGGTGTCTGTGAGCCGCGTCTACTCCTCCCAAGGTGAGCCGCCTCGGGGCCGGGGTCGTTCTCTGGTCAGGGAAGGGCCGCCCTTCCTGCCTCGCGTCACACGCCCCACTCTGTGTAGGACCCCACCTTTTCCCGGGGAGCCCCCTGGGAGAGAAACCCTTCTGGGCATTTTCCGGGCTCCCGGCTATAATTTTGCTCAAGCATGACGGAGTCGCAGCGCGTCCCCCAAGACCTGTTCTGCCCTTGGGTTTGCATCTTTTCTCGCGGGAGGCTCCCAGTCTGCCCAGACGGGGGAGGATGTTGCCACGAGCCGCGGGGCCCTTCCGAGGTCCACAGTGGTCATCCGTGTCCTCTGTTCTCGTGGGTGGGGTCCTCCCGCCGTGGGCCCGGGGGCTCCGTGTGCCCAGCCACGCCACCCCTCGCGTCCACCGGCTGTGTCCGTCTGTGAGCTCGGCCATCGTGGAAGGCTCCACGGGGAAGGGGGTCCTGCGCTGCGTGGGTGCCGTCGGATGGCCCGGCCCAGGGTCCCTTCGGGCGCGGGTCGGGGGCGGGTCTGAGCGTGCGGCCCCCCTGCTGCAGGTGCGGTGGTGCTGGACGTGGCCTGCTTCGCAGAGGCCGAGCGGCTGTACATGCTGGTCAGGGACACGGCGGTGCACGGCCGGCCACTGATGGCCCTGGTGCTCCCAGATGTGCTGGTGAGTGGACGGCGTCGGGGGCCCCGGGCCAAGGCGCCACCACTGCTTGGCCAAGGCGCGGGTGGTGGCCCAGTTCGCGCCAAGGGAGGACCTGAGGTTCGGGGTGAGAGGCCTGTGCGGGCTGATGGGCAGGAGAGCACGGGACGCGGGTCTCGGCCCAGGGTGGCCGCCTCCTAGGGGCCACACGCAGAACCTCCACGGGGTCCCTGGGGCCACCCTGGACCGGCCGGTGGGGCTCCTGACAGGACGGCACCCAGAGAGGGGGCTGGGGTGAGCGCAGGGCCGGGGCAGACACCGGCCAGGGCACGGCCCTCTGCCCTCGGCCCCGCGGGCCCCAGGCCTTCCCGGGATGTGGGGCTGCTCCGACCCCGACCCTGGCACCCGGGCGGGTGGAGCGAGTTACACTGCGCCCCGACTGGGGGCCGTCCCCCCTGCTCAGGGCAGCGCGGCATCACGGGGGCGAAGTCGGGGGCCTGTGCCCACTGCCCGGTCTCTCCCGACGGCCGCCTGCCTCGGGCTGAGCAGGCGAGGGATGTCGCCCAGGGGTGCCCCCGGCCCGTGCCCGGCACCCGCCGTCCTTAGCGGGGCCTCAGCCCTACCCGTGTCCCTGGGCACCGCGCGGTGGGGCTGGTTTGTTGGGGACCGCCGTCCTTGCCGGGCGTGTGCCTCGTGGCTCCCAGAGGGCGGCAGGTCCCACCGGGCGTCCAGCCAGCGTCTGGGCTGCGTGGCTCGGCAGGGGGCATGGCCTGGGGCGGGGGCCGCACGCCCACCCGGCTGCCCAGCGAGCGTGGGTGTGCCCCATGTGGGGGGGCCCTGAGTGGGCAGTGGCGAGGCGGGGATGGTGGGTGCGCCCAGCGCCTGGGCCCATGTGCTTCCCGGGCAGGGGCTTGGGCTGCCGGGCAGTGCAGGGGGAGACGCAGGCACTGACCCGCCCCCGTCTGTCAGCACTCAAAGCTGCCCCCAGACTGCTGCCCCCTCCTCGTGTTCGTGAACCCCAAGAGTGGAGGCCTCAAGGGCCGTGACCTGCTCTGTAGTTTCCGGAAGCTGCTCAACCCTCACCAGGTCTTTGAGCTGACCAACGGGGGGCCCCTCCCCGGGTGAGTCTGGGGGTCCCCCACGCGGCCGCTCACAGCCCGGAGGGCGCAGGGGTGCTGGGGGAGGCCGGGGGGAACAGGCCGGGGCTCCCCGCCAGACGCCCCAGGCCGTTGTGCGCGGGGCCGGGCGCCGCGGTCGGGACGCTGGCGGTACAGCTCCTCCCATGTGCCCGTCGCCAGGTTCCACGTGTTCTCCCAGGTGCCTCGCTTCCGGGTGCTGGTGTGCGGAGGGGACGGCACTGTGGGCTGGGTGCTTGCTGCCCTGGAGGAGGTGCGGCCCCGCCTGGCCTGCCCGGAGCCCTCCGTGGCCATCCTGCCGCTGGGCACAGGTGGGGCCGGCCCGCGAGTCGGGGACGGGGTCGGGCGGTGCCGGGGGTGGAGGGTCAGTGTCCTCTTGCCCGTGTCCAGGCAATGACCTTGGCCGGGTCCTCCGCTGGGGGGCGGGCTACAGCGGAGAGGACCCGCTGTCCGTGCTCGTGTCGGTGGACGAGGCTGATGCCGTGCTCATGGACCGCTGGACCATCCTGCTGGACGCCCACGAGGCCGGCGGTGGGGAGACCGGTGTGGCGGACGTGGAGCCCCCCAAGGTGCCAGCGGGGCCTGGGTGCCGGTCTGTCCCCTCCGTGGGGGAAGCTGACCGCCTCACTGGCCGCCCCTAGTGCCGGGCAGTGCCGACGACAGCGCAGAGCTGGGTTGGGGATGGGGAGGTGGGGAGACCCGGGGGGCTGACCAGCGAGGTCACGGGAGCACGGGTCTTGTCTCCAGATCGTGCAGATGAGTAACTACTGTGGGATCGGCATCGACGCAGAGCTGAGCCTGGACTTCCACCAGGCCCGGGAGGAGGAGCCTGGCAAGTTCACAAGCAGGTGCGGGGCACCGCAAGGGGGCTTGGGAGCTGAGGACAGCGGGGGCCGCCCCCTGGTGCCGTTGTACTTCCCGGGGCTTCCGCAGCCTGTCCTGGGCCGCGCAGGGCTCCGCCCCCTCCCCCGACGGTGGGTGTGCGCCTGCCCCCAGGTTCCACAACAAGGGCGTGTACGTGCGGGTGGGGCTGCAGAAGATCAGCCACGCCCGCGGCTTGCACAAGGAGATCCGGCTGCAGGTGGAGCAGCAGGAGGTGGAGCTGCCCAGCATCGAGGGTCTCATCTTCATCAACATCCCCAGGTGCCCGTGGGGGGCTCCCGGGGGCTCGGCCTGGGCGCCCTAGGCCCTGGGCGCCCTCCCCCGCTTACCCGTGCGCCCCTCCCTCGGTGCAGCTGGGGGTCGGGGGCCGATCTGTGGGGCTCCGACAGCGACTCCAGGTTCGAGAAGCCGCGCATGGACGACGGGCTGCTAGAGGTGGTGGGGGTGACGGGCGTCATGCACATGGTGAGTGGGCGCGGGCAGGCGGGGGGTGGGGGCGCTGCGGTGCGCTGAGCCCCCTGCCCCTGCTGTCTCCAGGGCCAGGTCCAGGGGGGGCTGCGCTCCGGCATTCGCATCGCCCAGGGCTCCTACTTCCGGGTCACCCTGCTCAAGGCCACGCCCGTGCAGGTGGACGGCGAGCCCTGGGTGCAGGCCCCCGGGCACATGATCATCTCGGCCGCAGGCCCCAAGGTACAAGGCGGGGCAGGGCCGGTGGCGCCCCTCGTGCGGAGGCCCCTGGGTGCCTGGGGAGGGGGAGGCATGGCTGTCCTGCCCCCAGCTGAGTACCCCCCTCACCTGCCTGGTCCCCACAGGTCCACATGCTCAGGAAGACCAAGCAGAAGCCCAGGAAGGCCGGGGCCCCCAAGGATGCCCGAGCAGACGGGGTGCCCGCCCCTGAGGGGGACCCCAAGTAGAGGAGGGCCCGCAGCAGCCTGCGTGTCCAAGGGCGGCCGCGACCGGCGCTGCATGGACTTGCTGCTGGTGGATGGAGGGGCGTCCCCTCATCCCCGGGCCACATGGAAGCTGCTGCTGGGTGGCGGGTGCGGACCTGCTGCCCTCTGATCCCGGGATAGGGTTGGTGTAGGGCTTTGGCCAGAGGTCCCGGCCGTCCCTGCTCCGCGTCCCCTGCCACCTGTGAGCCCGCCCGCCCTGGGCCGCTCCTCCACGGCCGCCGGCTCTGTGGGCCCTGGGGCTGCCGCGGCCACCGGTCCCCTGGCTGCTGTCCGCGGACGGCTGGCTGGGGCCTCGCGGTGACCGAGGGCACCTGGGGATGGGGGCCGCGGCCACGGGGCTGGCCCCCGCCCTGACGATGGAGCGGACGGGAGCCTGGGATGGGAGCACCGCTGGAGGCCCCGAGGAAGTTTACAGGGTGTGAGGTGGGAGGAGTTTTAATCGTCTGCTTGTCTACACTGCACCTGCGTCTACACTGCGCCCGCAGGGGCGGCCCCAGCCCCTCAGCCTGGGGAGTCTCCTGCGCCCCGAGAGGCCCACCCACCGTGCACCTCCCGCTTGTCCTGGCGTCGCTGTCGGTGCCGGCTGGCCGGGCTGGGCCTGCCCCGTGTCCCCCGAGCTTCTGCCAAAACCACACAAATGCACTGTCGCAGCCACTTGTGGCGGAACATTCATATCTCGTGCCTCCAGCACACGGACGTGTGTTCGCTCTGACGTCCCCGTGGTGCCATTACTTTTGCTTTGCAGGCCTCGGTGTGGGTTCTGGTCTGTCGTCGTGTGTCCTTCTGTATTTAAGTGAGTCTGTGCGCCCCGACGGGGCAGTGTGCGCCTGGCAGCCAGGCCCTCGTGTGTACCTTGTCACTACCTGAATGTAACCCTAATTTATATCCAGGACAAATACAGTCTGGGCACTGCTGTCCTGCTGCTGTGTCCTCTGTGCCCGGGGACTGCGGGGGGGGGGGTGCCCGCGGAGCTCTGCACGCAGCAGGCGGCCACGCTGGGGCCTGGGGACACCCCCACCGAGGGCCGGCACCCACGTGGCCCGGCTGAACGCACGTGGCCACGGGGCCTGGGCTGCAGAGGCGCAAGCCGGCGTCGGCAGAAGCAAAGCCCCTCCCGGGAGCTCTGGGGCAGGACTGGGGGAGACCCCAACCCCCAACGGGCGAACAGCGGGGGGGGGGGAGGGCAGAGGGGCGAGCTAGCAGGTGGAAGGGAGGAGCGGGGCCCGCACGTCCTCCTCGGCCCCGGGGACTGGCCGGGCCAGGCCCCGCAGGGCCCGCAGGAGCGCCGAGGCCAGGCGGACGAGCAGCCGCAGCAGCAGGAAGGTGAGGGGCACCGCGATCTGCGTGAGGTGGAAGATGGCCGTGCTGACCCTGCTCAGGAAGCAGGTGGACGCGAAGGCCAGCAGGCTGGCGCACGGGTACAGCGCGAGCTTGGCGAACATGAACGCGTGCTCGCGGCCCCCGAACCGGGCGGAGGGCTGCAGCGTCTCCTGCTCCTGCAGCAGGGCCGTCGTCCAGATGGCAAACTGGAAGATGCTGGCAAAGAAGATGATGGCGCAGCTGACGCGCACGCTCTCGAGCTCGTCGCGCGGCTGGCGGGCGAAGGCCGAGGTCTGCTGGTAGGCCAGGGGGAGGCCGCCCACGAAGGCCAGCGACAGCGTGTTGAGCAGCCCCATGGACTGCGTGGCTTTGCGGATGTGCAGGAAGAGCGAGTGGTGCGCGAACCAAAGCAGGCCCACCGTGGCGAAGGAGCCGAAGTACGCCAGGAAGTGCGGCCCGTATGCGCTGAGCGCGGCCACCAGGCTGCCGTGGAACTTGTCCCGCACGTCCTTGGAGTCGGGGACGTTGTCCTCACTAGGACGGTGAACACACGGCATCTGTGGCAGCCCCCCCCCCCCCCAGGGCACCCAGCTCCCAGGCCCCGAGGTCCAGGTGAAGGACGCGGGAAGGTCCTTGGCCTCCGCGTAGGCACGCAGGGCCCCGGGCGCCTCCCTGCGCTTCATCTGGAGCTGGGAGAGTGCGGCACCCCATCCGCTAACGGCCCGGCCCCCGGCCCTCTGGCCCCCACGGGCGGGTGCTCCTGCCATTGCCCACTGCCCTGCAGCCGCCTGCCCGTGCGTGCGCGTGGAGGGTTCTGAGACTGCTGGGCTGAATGTTACCCTATGAGCCTCTCGAAGGCTCGTCTGGGGTCCTCCCCCATGGATGTCCCCACCTGCGTGGCCCAGAGAGCCCGTCCCTGCGCCCTGGCCAGGAAAGCGCCCTGAGACCCTCTGTCCTCACGGTGGGGGCCACGCACATGCCTGCGGGGGTGGGGGAGCTGCCCCAGGTCCTTGGGCTGCGGCTCTGGGCAGAGCAGAGAACACACCCACGGGCCCAGCCCCACGGGCACGGGCTCCTCGCGGCCACTCGCGAGGGACCTGGGGCCAGCGCGGCCCTGGCTGCAGGGCGGAAGCAAAGCTGCCTTGTTTTGGAACCTCGGGCCTAAGCCTCAGAGATCGGCACCAACGATCATTTGTGCCCAGTTTGTGAGAAATCATAAATGACAGGAGGAGCAAGCCATCAGGAGAATTAGGAGAGCTAATGGCTTAGGCCACCAGATAATCGATGTAAGAAATCAACGTGTTGTAACCCAACAAAGTAAGGACGTGCTGAAATGTGACCAAAGGAACAAGAGACCCTAAATAAGAATGGAAAATACGAAGGAAAAAAAAGGTGAAATGCAGCAATGAAAATGCAGAAACTAAAGTTAGAACCTTAACAGAGTGAAGGGCAAAAGGACACGGTGAAGGGCAGGGTGAGCAGAAGGGGGGTGCGGGAGCCTGGGGTAGGGGGAGCCCCGTGGGGAGGGGTCTGGTGTGCGCCCCCAGCCCCCAGGAAGGAGGCCCTGCGCCCAGGGCGGGGCCCCCGCCCCACGGGGCTGGTGGGCCAGGAGCCGCCGCGGGGCTGGAGACGGGGGCTGCGGACGCCCTCCCTCGGGCCTGGGCCTTACCAGATGTCCAGGATGAGGAGCGTGGCCACGATGGCATAGACCCCGTCGCTGAAGGCCTCCACCCGCTCCTTGCTGAGAGGTTCATGCAGGTCGAAAGTGAAGAACTCCATGCTGTGAGCTGGGGGCTCTTGGGGGCCTGTGGGGCGTGCCAGGAGGAGAAGCTGGCCTGGGCAGGGGGCATGCAGGGACACCTGCCCGTCACGGTGCCCGGGCCCTTCCCACGCCCCGAGGCCCCGCACACCGGCCCGCGCGAGCACCTACCCACAAGCCTGCCCTTGCACCAGCTGGACGCCTTGCTGACGTAGGGGAGGAAGATGACCATCGCCATCAGCAGGTACGACTGCGCGAGACCCACGACAGGTCAGGAGGCGAGGCGGTGCCAGGAGTCCCACCCAGACGCCGTCCGCTCCACAGGGATGGGAGCTCGGGCACCAGGAGAAAAAGCAGGTGGATTAACCTCCGCAGCTGGGGGACCTCGTGTGCTGGGAGTACCGCCGGGAACGCAAGGAGCGCAGATGGCGGGGGGGGGGGGGGGGGAGCACGCACCCGACTCCCCTCCACAGCCCGGACACAACGGGCCCCAACCCAGAGCGGCAGACGGCCTGGGCAGACGCTTCCCCAAGATTCAGGGTGGCCAACCTGCATGGGGCCCCGAGCAGCAGCAGCATCTGGGGGACACGGGCAGCACCACCAGCTGACCCCCACCCCAGGGTGCAGCTGCTCTCCACGGAGCAGACACCGACGAGCCTTGGCGAGGACGTGGGGGACTGGACCCCGAGCACTGTGGGGGTAACGGGGCAGCCGCCGTGGAAGACCGCATGGACGGTCCTCAATGGAGCACAGGACGACCGGGTCGGTTCCCAGCACTGAGGGCAGGGCCCCCACGGCCACAGCAGCCGAGATGCACAAGCACCCCCGTGTACAGGGACGTGTCGTGGGTCCCCCCAAGGAGCCCAGAGAGGGAGATCTGACGCCTGCTACACATGGGCAAACCTGGGAGACACTGTGGAATCAAAGACGCCACACGGAAGCCTCCTGCTTTATGACTCCACGTACGTGAATCACTCAGAGGCAGGAGGTGCATCAGGGTGTCCCAGGGAGCGGGTGCAGGGGGGTGGTGACTGCTAACAGGCTGGGGCTTGTGTTGAGCTGATGGGAACATTCCAGGAGGTGGAGGGGCGGCTGCATGGTGACCTGATCAGAGCCGACGTCGCCAACTGCGCAGCGGGCGAGGGCACGGAGGTCAAGTGTACGTCGTGCACATCCCACGCGATCTGACAAAGGGCGTGGGGCCAGGTGGCCGGTGTCCCTGACCCCGAGGCGGCTCAGCAGGTCCCGGCGGGGCTCTGCTGGTGCTCACAGCACCCGGGGGGGCCTCCTCCTGCCACCCCACCTGCACACCTCGTACCGCGAGGTCTCCTGACGGGGATTCGGTGACGGTGTCCTCGGTACCGTCAGGGGGACAGCGGCACACGTCAGATGCACCACAGATCTGCTCGTGACCGTTTCCATGCCTGACAGACGGCGTCACGCGCCTTAGCGACAGGCACACTGAGGGACGGGCCTCCCGGGTGTGAGGCAGTGGACGCGGAATGTTCCAGGGGAGGCTGAGCCCTGCAGGAGCAGCACGAGGGCTGCCTCACGGGACAGAAATCAACATGAGTGGCGTCTAACTGGAGGCCGGCATGACAGGCTGGGGCGCAGGCCGTGGGACCGTGGGCACCATCGAGGAAGGTGGTCCTCGGGGAGGGAGGGTGGCCGGGCCCAGGCTGCTGAGAAGGGGCTGGGCCTGGAAGGTGGACCCAGCAGGGCATCTGGGAGGAGGGGGCCGGGGCCAGGGCCGGGCTGGCCTGGGGGGGTCACAGGCGGTGGTGGGCCCAGGGCTCCAGGTGAGGAGGTGAGGGGGCAAGGGCAGAGCCACATGCAGGGGAGGAGGGCGGAGGGCTGACAGGGCAGCGGGGGGCCGCACAGCTGGCTGCGCCACCGCGGAGCGCCATGGCCCCGCCGACCCCACCCCGAGGCCACGGGGCCCCCGCCCTCCTCCTCCCCAGCGTGCTGGCGCAGGTGTCCCCCCACACTGCCGTCAGCCCCCCGGGCGCGGTCACCGCCGGCACCCCCGGGCCCCACGAGGTGGCACACCGGACACTGCCCCGCAGCCCAGGCACGGCCTACCTCGCGCCTCGGCTCTGCTGGCCCAGGCCACCCCCCACTGCAGCTGTCCCTCCGATCCTCCACGCCACGGCCCTCGTCATCCCTCAACCCCCGACTGTGCAAGCAGAAGCCGCTGCTGTGGCCGCCCTGAACGCCCCGCCTGAAACCAGGACGTGCCCACGGCCTCAGCCCGCCCCTGCGCTCCAGACTCCCGCCCCACGCGTCCCCTGCTGGGCCTGCCCTCCCCACGCAGAGCTATAGCCTGCTGTAGGCCACAGCCGAGCACGCCCGGCCCGACCCCGAGCCCCCTGCAGCATCCCCCGCCAGCGCCCCTGCACCTCCACACGCCCAAGGCCTCTCGTGGCCCCTGCGTGCACCTGCCCCGCTCTGCCTGCCGGGGCCGGGCCTCTGGACGCCTGGGCCGCGCACCCCCGGCATGCGGCTCCGTCCTCGGGGAACGGGGCTCGGCGGGGGCCCCGCTAGCCTGCCTGTGTCGAACTTGCAATCTCACAGGTTTCCTAGACGTTGAAAACATCCCCCATTTTCGCAGCTGTGCTCTGGGTGGGAGACGTCACCGTCCTTCATGGGGGCTCCGGTAAAGGCAGGAGCCACGCAGCAGCTTCCCGCCACCCCTGTAACCCACCCCTGTCTCTATCTGTCCGCACTCCTGCAGGACGGAGTGTTCCAGAACAATGCTGCTATTAAACTAGCTGATGGCTAAAAACAGGGCACGAGCCCCTTGATTCCTGCGACCTGGCTGCCGTGGTTCCGCGTCCACACACCCACTCAAGGGTACAGTGGGGACGGGCCGAGCGGCCCAGGGACGTCCTGACCTCTGACTACACTGGCTGTGCCCGGTGTTCCTGAGGGCCGGCGGCCAGTCCCGGCCTCGGGCTTCCTCCGCTTCTCCGCCCACGTTCTCCGTGCTCCCCCGGGTTGATCCTCGTGCTCCCTACGTGCCTCTCGCCTGCTGTGGCGCAGGACCCCTCCCCCAGGAGCCTTCCAGTGTCGGCTGCCCTGGCGGCCTTGCCAGACCCTCCCTGGGCCGGGGCCCCCCCTCCCCTCTCGTCTTAGAGCGCCCACTGGGGGAGCGTGTCCCTGGCTGGCCCCATCTGACATGCGTGTCCTCCCCCAGCCGGGGCCTCCTCCCCGCACAGCAGGTCCTGGTGGCGGGTGTGGGGGTGCGGAGGGGGGGCTTGCCCTCAGCTGTGCTCCGCGGCAGCCAGGGCCCGGTGCCTCCCGGGGGCACCTGCTCAGGGGTACGGTCACCCCTCGCCGCCCCCTGCCCCCCCACTCACCAAGGGGTAGAAGAACAAGGAGAAGCCGGCGGCCACGAAGCACAGCGCCGGGCCCCTGAGGACGATGCGCAGGATGTGCTGCCGGTAGAGGGCCCTGTGGGGCGCGCGCTCGATCTGGGGGTTCAGGAGGTAGGGAAAGTGGAAGGCGTACACCACGATCAGCGCCTGTGGGAGAGGCAGGCTGCAGGGCACGAGCAGAGGCCGCTGGCCGGCACCCCCACCGTGTGTGCGGACACAAGCCCGAGACGCAGGCGCCGCTGCGAGGCCCCCACGGGAGCCTCTGCTCTGCTCCTGGGGCCATGGGGAGGGGGGAGTGGTGGTCTCTGCGCCTTGCCCCACCCCGCCCTGGGGACACTGGGAGGCCCCTTTGACCCGCTCTCCGGGCCAGGCTCCAGGAATCTTGGGTCACCCCGCAGCAGGTGGCCGGGGGCAGTCGCTGTACAGCGTGTCCCGAGGGCACAACACCACGGCACCAACGCACCACATCCTGCGCACGTGCACAACACGTGTACATCACGCGTGCTCCAGGAGGACGAGCAGGTGGGGGCGGCAGGCCGGGTGCCTACCTGCACGGCCCCGATGGCGATCACACACATGCAGAACAGGAAGATGCCCAGAGGCACGTCGGGGAACGTCACCATTAAGGAAAACTGCAAACACCAAGACAAGACACGACCAGGTTCCGCAGCCCCGGAGCCGGAGGCCAATGCTCCCGGCCATGCAGCAGGCCCAGGCCACAGCTGTCAGCCCTGAGCGTGGGTGCCGGCAGGTGTCCCCGCCACTGCGGGCCCCCCGGGACCCCTGGAGGCCTCCCCTCCTCAACCAGCCCGGAAACCCCGGAGCAGCTCCCCGTGAGCTCTTCTCCTCTTTTCAGCTCCGTGCTCGGGCCTGGGGCCGCCCAGCCGGGCTGAGGGCTCCTGCGGAGGATGTTCCCCGGGCCGAGCGTGTCGCCCGGGAGGCTGCCGCAGGTACTCACGGTGAACGGCAGGAAGGTGATGGTCATCATGCAGGCCTGGGGGAGGAAGGGGAGGCAGGCAGGCGCTGCAGGCCGGCTGCGTGGCGCCCGGAGGCCCTGCTGCCCGGGGGACCTCTGGCGGCGCCCCCTCGGAGCCATGTCACGTCCGAGTCCTCGCCCCGGGCAGCTCACCCCTCACCGCCCACAGGGGCGCCTGCAGGAAGGACGCGCGAGGAGCCGGGGGTGGGGGGGGTGGCGGGCGCCGGAAAGGCCGAGTCCTGCTGGCCCTCCTAGGAGGACGGGCCTCCGAACGTCATCGTTTCTCAAGAAACGAAAGGACTCACCAGGTTGAGCAAGGCAAGCGTGTCATCTATCTTCCCAACAACCTGGAACAGTCTAAACCGTGTGAGAAAATCAGGAAGACGTGCTGTCAACAGAGGCTCTAACAGCGTCACACGGGCCCCCCGTTCGCGGGTTAGAACAGCAGTAAAAGGTGTCATGGGGGCAGCGGGGGAGGATCTTAAGGAGGCTGCACACCCGGCGTGGAGCCCGACGTGGGGCTGGGTCTCACGACCCTGGGATCGCGACCTGAGCCGAAATCAAGAGCCACACGCTTAACTGACTGAGCCCCCAGGGGCCCCAAACATGTCGTTTCTACACTTAAACTACTAGCTAGCACACGCGGGTTGGAAGACATTGAAAATACAACAGGAGACCCAAGCCCCTCACATTTCCGAGTCCCCTAACTTGGGGCGCGTGGCTGGGTGTGAGAAGCCCCCGATGCACGCGCTGGTGCTGGGGGCTGCGGAGGGGGACGCACCCGCGGGAGGCGCCCCACGTGCCCTGGGTGTGTTGGACACCACGGGGGACTCCTTCAGGCCTCGTGTCCAACGATCACTTTTAAGAAAGGAAATCCTCCCCGAGAGGTCATCCTCCAAGCCCGCTGAGGCAGACGGCCCTTGGGGGGCCAGGGCGGCGGGAACAGGAAACCGCACCCGGGCCGGGGGCAGGCGGGAGCTCAGCAAGGGGCGACTCAGGTGCGGGGCAGCCCCACGGACCTCAGCCCCCGTTCCGGGCGGGGGTGGTGGGTTCGGTACTCAGGGCGGGCTCTGGGGACAGCAGCCCCGGCCACCCGCTGAGCCCAGGGGACCGTCCAGCCGGGAGGCCCGGGCGGACCTGGCCGCTCTGGGAGCTGTGGTGCGGGAGGGCGGCCTCGGCCGGGCCAGCGCACAGGGAGACGCCGCGTGTCCTGCACGGCCACCAGCACGAGCACACGGGCCGGCTGTGACTCCTCACCCCTGCGAGCCCAGCCCCCAACCTGCAGCCTCCTCTGCAGGGCGCTGGGCTCACAGCCCGCCCCCGCTCCGTTCCTGGGAGCCCTCCTGCCCCGCTCGGGGGTCCCCTGGGGCTCGGGTCGCCAGGAACCCGTCCTCCTCGAGAAAGCTCTGGCTTAGGGGCGAGCCTCCCGCAGCCTCCTCGCCGGAGACCTGGACGGGACGGTGCACGGTGTGGGCCGCGCAGGGCCGCCCCGTCCAGTCCAGCCCTTCCCTGGACCGTCCCGGGCCCTGTCGTCGTCACGCGGAGGCACACGCCCCGAGGGAGCCGCCGCGACGCCGCCTCAGCCTGAGTCCGTACCTCGTGTGTGCTGCCCAGGCCACAGTCACAATGAGAAACGTCATCAGATAGACAGCAATCCTGGTCGCTAGAAGCTTCTGTATACTTTTGTCAAACTGGTGGAACAGAAGAGCATCACCATCAGAGCCGGCCGCACCGGGGCCCGAGGAAGGTGCCCACCTGCCCTTCTCGGAGGGGCCTCTAGCCCAGCCCCCCGACGCCCCGATGCCTATTTGGGGATCTACTCTGGAGCCTCCCGTGGCAATGGCAGCTCTTGGGGCTCGGCACTCCCCGGTCCAGAGCAAGGCTGCCAACCGGCCGTGGAGCCCGGTGAGGTCGTGGCACCACCTCCCCCAGCTGGGAAGGGACCTGGAGGCACACTGGGGACAGAGCAAATGGGCTGGACACAAGGCTGGGACCCCTGAAATCGTGAGAAGGATCTGATGCTTCTGAAGGAAAAACTCAAGTGGAAAACTCATTGCTTTACCATTTTTGCTGTTTTTTTTTCTTTCTTTTTAAGATTTTATTTATTTATTTGACAGAGAGAGAGCACAGGAGCAGGAGGAGGAGCAGAGGCAGAGGGAGAAGCAGAAGCCCGGGGGAGCAGGGAGCCTGATGCGGGACTTGAACCGAGGAACCCGGGATCATGACCTGAGCCCAAGGCAGACGCTCCACCGACGGAGTCCCCAGGCGCCCCGGGCTGGTTCTTTACCCTCAGCTGGGTGTCTCCCCCAGCACCCCAGGGCTTCACCGTGGACTCAGTTTCTGAATTGCTAGGTTTTCGGGGCCTTGCCTCGCCCTCCCCTTCGAGTGGGGAGGAGCCCCCGCTGGCAGACACCCTCCGGCAGGGTCTCCCCGACGGCATCCCCAGACCCCTGCACAGCTTTCTGGCTCCCAGCTTCCCCATGAACCAGTCACACACCCACTGCAGACAGGGAGGTTCAGCCCACACACCTCCCTGCGCTATCCCCCGGCATCTCCTGCTCACACATCCACACTCCATTTTTTTTTTTTTTAATATTTTATTTAATTTCTTTGAGGGAGAGCGAGCACGTTGCAGGGTGGGGAGGGGCAGAGGGAGGAGAGGAGCTGACTCCCTGCAGAGCCCGACACAGGGCCCAATCCCACCATCCATGAGATCAGGACTTGAGCCAAAACCAGGAGTCGATGCTTAACCGACAGAGCCCCCAGGTGCCCCTCACCCACACCCCATCCTGAGGTCTCTGGCTGGCCAAGCCCTCCCCCAAGAAGGTTCTGGAGCCGAGCACAGCCAGGCGAGCAACAGGGCCCCACTGGGTCCCAGGCCTTCTTTGAAAAGGGGTGACTAAAGCCCAAAGTGGCACCAGGCCTCCACCCACCCGCTGGGTGCTGGCTGCTGGCACCAGGCTACACCTGCATTTCCACCGAATTCTCTTCAAAACCCTACCCGCGGTACGACTGCCAGGTTTCCGCAGATGAAAAAGACAACATGTAAGCGGCTCCTGTGAATCCCAGCAGCATCCAGGCTAAGCGTGCTCAGGGGGCCCAGCAGGCCCAGCACCTCGCGCCTCACTCCCCTGGGCCTCACCTGCACCCTCGCTTACGCTGGGGGGTGAGCAAGGCACGCCCACACACGCACGCACAGGGACTCTCAAGAGTCCTCCAAAATCGCGTCAGCTTTCGAGGCGCTGTGTGTCACTACTTACTTTATAAATCAGAAGAATTCTGTTCATAACATAAACGGAGACTCTGCTTTGGAAAACCCTGCTTCCCACGGACTTCCATGATGGACCCCCCCACCCCGTCCCTGGGCACGGAGGCTGCAGGCTGCCCGCAGCCCCTCCACGTGCGCCGTGAGCGACACAACCAGAAGCCCGATGGTCTACCCCTGTCTGGGGGCCAGGATGGGGGCCAGCCAGGGCTGCTGAGGGAGAAGACGAGCTGGCCCAGGCCCGCCAGCCAGGCACATCTTGGGGAGCCTGGACGGGCTCACGGACTGAGGGAGCCTCCTGCACCTCACCCTCACAGGATGCTGCAGATGTTGTCCCCAAGTACCTGTTCCGGGGAGATCTCCGTGTGGGTCACAGGCAGGATCTAGGACCGCAAAGACACAAAAAGAACCAAGGGGCATTTCTTGGGCTGTGCACAGACCACTCCTCGGATGCCCCGGGTCAGGGACTCGGGCCAGTGCTGGACTGCTCCCCCACCCATCCAGCTGCCTGAGTGGCTGGGGGACCCCAAGGACACTGCTGAGACAGGGCAGGGTCGATGCTGGCCAAGCTCTACCAGAAGGCTATCTTGAGAGGGTAGGACCAGGGTCCCGATGTGAGAGGGGGCTCCGGGTGGGGCCCCACACGGACCATCACGGTGGCGATGATGGACAGGAGTGCGTCACTGAAGCTGAGCATGCGATGTGAGTGCTGGATGCCATCAGCAGCGTCCTCATCCCTCGTGCCCATGGGGGAGTCCCCCTGTACACTGAGGGTCGGTTCTGGGGTCTGGGGTCCGGACATGGTGGGGCCTGGGAAGAAGCACAGGTCTGAGCGGGCCAGAGTGCCACTGGAGATCCACCCCTGCTGGCTTCAGCCGTGACACACGGTGGGCTGGTGCCTGAGAGCAGGACGCCCCCTCCAGAAGGGGGCTCAGGCTCAGTGGTGGTTAGCAGGACCCCTCTGCGGGGCAGGAAGAGTCCCTGCCCCCTGTCCTCTCCCAGGAGGCCCCTGCATTTCCAGCCTGCAGGAAGGGCATCACTTCACTGTGAGTGCTGTCATCTGGGAGCCACGCTTGGAGCCTGTAGCAATGGGAGAAACAAGAGAAGGTGCACAGGCACACGGCTGGCACTCTACACGCTGTGTCACCAGCCCGAAGCCCTTGACCCCAACACCAGACCACTGTGCGGTCAGACGCTTTTATCCTAGAGGTGGGATGTTCCTGCATCCCAGGACTAACCAGGCCGGACCCTGCTCAGCTTCCAAGATCAGACGAGATTGGGCATGTTCAGGGCGGTATGGCCGTGGACGACACGTGGGGTGTCCTATGGGACCGAGCCCCAGCGGCTTGCAGTAAAACAAAGTGCCAGCCCTCGCAAGGACAGGACACAACACAAACCAGCCGCACCACAGAAACAAAGGAGGCTTACTGGCAATTTCCGGACAGGAAAAACAAACTGGGAACAAACATAGAAGGTATTCAGCTTCATCCGCAACTAGGGAAACGCAAGGGAAAACCTTGAGGTACCACTAAGTCCGCAGGAGCCTGTCAAGTGACGAGGCTGTAGGGACACAGGCTTGGGCAGGGATGTCCAGGATGCCACAGGCCTCTGGAGACACCTGGAAGTTAATGAAGTGTGATGTGCACACCCTACAAGGGGGCAACGCCAGGTCTAGGTGCAGCCTCAGGTGTGTGCACAAGGAGACGTGCAGGATGTGCACTGGTGCGTAATTTTAATGAACATCAAAACATCCTATTGTTAAACACTAAACGAATTGTTCAAAAGTGCCGAGAACTGACGTCTGCATCCCCCGAACTCCCGTGACGAAGCCCTAACCCGCTGTGGGATGGTATCAGGACGGGGTGGGGGTGCTTAGGGAGGTCACGGGTCCTCACAGAAGAGGGGGACAGGGGAGATCACGGCCGCCTCCAAGGGAGGACACAGCGAGAAGGCCGGGAAGGGGAGGCGGCCGCCCCCTGGATCTCGGACTTCTGCCCCCAGAGCCGGGAGAAATCCGGGCCGCCCTTTGGCCCCATCCGTGGGGTTTTGTCACGGAGGCCCGAGGGACTGGGACAGGAAGTGCAGATAAATGAAATAGATGCACAGGTATAAAACTCGGAAACCCAATGCCGAGAAATGAAACATGTTGCAGAAAAAGTACACGTAGTAAATTACACGTTTATAGGAAGGTTTACAGCGACCCGCTGTCCTCCTGTGAGGTCACGAACACGCAGTCAGAGCCTGGAAGCAGGCAGGCGGCACTCACCAACTCCAGGACGGCGCTGCGCTGACCCGGGCGGGCTGGGGCGGGCACGGGCCTTAACTGGCAGCTGTACCTAGGATCTATTTCTCACTCTGGTGTACAGGTCCCTGAAGGTCTGACAAATGCACGCAGGTGTGTCGCCACGACCAGGGTCCCAAAGCACTTCGGTCCCCAAGCACGCCCTCTGTGGCCACGCCCCCCCCCCCCCAAGTCCTGGCCACCAGCCCTATCAGTTTGCCCCTCCCAGACTGTCGCTTGAGTGGACTCCTACGCATGGAACCTTTCGAGCCTGGCTTCTTTTACTCAGCGCCACGCGCTCGAGATCCATCCACGTCTGGAGAGCATCAGTGTTGTATTTTGTACTGCAGTGTAGTGGATCCCACCGCGTGGATGGACCCTTTATTCTCCCATTTGCTAGCTGGACAGGCTGAGTTGTTTCTAGTTTTTGGTGGTCTCGAATAAAGCCACTATAAATACTTGCACACAAGTATTTCTGTAAACGTGTTTTTATTTCTCTTGGGTAAATGCAAGTTTCACTTTATAAGAAGCTGCAAACTGCTCACCCCAGGAGCTGTGCTGTCGCCCCGCCGCCCCCCGCCCCCGCCAGGCATGAAAATTGCGGTCGCTCCTCATCCTTCCCGGCACTTAGTCCGGAGGATTTTTTTTTTTTAAGTTAACTTTTATTTTAGCTGTGCTAACAGATGTGTAGTGTATCTTCCCTGGCATTTCGCTGCTGACTTAATTGGGCATTTCCATGTTTTTTTTATCTGTGTACCTTTTGTGGCAAAGTGCCTGTTAGAATTTTTGGTTCATTTTTTGGAAGTTATTTGCGTTGTTACTGAGTTTTAAGAGTTCTTTGTATCTGCTGACTAAAAGTTCTTTGTTAGGTATGTGTTTTGCAAATACTTGCCCGCAGTCTGTGGCTCACGGTCATTCTCTTACCAGACGGTAGGTGCGCAGAAGCTTTAAATTTTGATGCAGTCCACCTCAACTTTTCTTTTTTTTTCAACTTTTCTTTCATGGATCATCCTTATGGTGTCATATCTAACAATGCTTTGCTTTACTCAAGATGACAAAGATCTCCCATTTTCTTCCAGAGGTTCTAAAGTTTTAGCTCTTCCTTTCAGTGTATGATAGATTTGTATCTATTTTATAATTTTCATAAATTATTGTTAGTTTTTATACAACATTCAAGGTATATTTGGAGCTTCCCTTTTTTGCAGGTGGATATTTGATTATTTTTATTTTTTTTTTAGATTTGTATTTATTTACAATAGTCACACACAGAGAGAGAGAGAGAGGGAGGCAGAGACACAGGCAGAGGGAGAAGCAGGCTCCATGCACTGGGAGCCCGACGTGGGATTCGATTCCGGGTCTCTGGGACCGCGCCCTGAGCCAAAGGCAGGCGCTAAACCGCTGTGCCACCCAGGGATCCCGGATGTTTGATTATTTTAATACCACTTGTTGAAAAGACTATCCTCTCTCCACTGAACTGCCTTTGCATTTTGGTCAAACGTTAACTGGCCATATCTGTGTGGGTCTATCTTGGGAGTATCTATTCCGTAACTGATTATGTACCTGTCCCCTTGCCATACCACCTTGATTACAGCTTCATAGTAGGTCTGGATATCTGGGAGACTGAGTCCTCCAACTGTGCAAATGTACTTAATGTCACTGAACTGCACACTTAAAATGGTTAAGATAGTAAATTTTATTATGTGTATTTTATTTATCAGAGTAAAAAACCCACAAAAACTAGTCCCAGCATACCTGTTCAGAACATGTTGATGACATGTTACTTTCATCATACACAAGTTTTTAAGCCTCATGGTAATAAAAGAAAGAATACAAGACTGAGTAGAGAGGAGCAAGGAGTTGGAGGGACGGTTTTTTGTTTCTTTTAAGATGAAAGAGACTAAGAATTTTAAAATCCTGATGGGAATAAGGAGGAGAAGCTCCTTATAATTTCACATAACAGAGAAAATTTCACATAGCAGAGAGGGGGGTAACTGACAGCTTATGACCCCGTAAGGCATCAGGCACTGTGCTGGGCATTAGAGGCAAACATGGATGGATAGGACAATCACCCAACAGTACAGCAGACACAGCACACAGTAGGGCGCTGTGGGAGCACTGAGTGTGGGAAAGCTCTCAGAGTGGGACACGCCAGATGACAAAATGACAACAGTGAGAATATGAAGCAACGGATGCGGGCCTCGAACCCAGGACCCCAGGATCATATCCCTGGGCCGAAGGCGGCACCAAACCAGTGAGCCACCTGGGCTGCCCTGTGTATCACATTTAGATGTATGACGGTTTGAGTTAATTTTTGTATAATAGTGCAAGATATGCATTAACATTTTTAACATACAGATATCCAATTTTTCCACCATCATTTTTTGAGGTCTATTCTCTTCAATTGCTTTTATTCCTTTGTCAAAAATCAACTGAACTTATATATACTTGTGAGCCAATTTCTGACCATTCTGGTGCACTGATTTACTTATGTACCTTAAATCAGTACCACATGGGCTGGAATTGCTGTGGCTTTATAATGAGCACTGAAGTTGGACAATGGAAGTCCCAGAACTTGTCCTTGTTCAAACCTGTCTGGCCTATTCTATTTCCTCTGCAGTTCTAAATTAATTTTAGAATCAGTGTGTCAGTTTTTACAAAAAGTTTGCTGGGGGGCAGCTCTGGTGGCTCAGCGGTTTAGCGCTGCCTGCGGCCCGGGGTGTGATCCTGGAGACCCGGGATCGGGTCCCACGTCGGGCTCCCTGCATGGAGCCTGCCTCTGTGTGTGTGTGTGTGTGTATGTGTCTCTATGAATGAATAAATTAAAAAAAAAAAGTTTGCTGGATTTTGTCGGGACTTGCACTGAATCTATAGTTTTGAGAATCTCATTTATGAATATGGTGCATGCTCTCCGTTCAGTAAGGTCTTTAATTTCTCTCAGCCAAGTTCTTTCGTTTTCAGCGTATAAGTCTTGCACATTTTTTCATGCATTTAATATTTTTTGATGATGTTGTAAATGGTATTTTCCCCAAATTCATTTCAACTTCCACTATCTGTTGCCAGTAATCTAGAAATAATGGGATTCGTTTTTTACATATTAATTTTGTACCCTGCAATCCTGCTAAGTTTAGCTAGCTCTTGTAGCTAACTAGTTCTCGTAGCTCTTTCTGTAGATCCCACTTGGTTTTTTTTACATAGAGTAGTGGGTGTCAACTGACGGTGGTAATGTCCCTCGAGGGACACCTGGCAATGTCTGGAGACATCTCTGGTTGTGACAAGTGATGTGTGTTAATGGTATCTGGGGATAGCGGTAGGGGTGCTGCTAAATGTCCAACAACGCATAGATAATGCCACCCCTTCACCTCCACAAGGAATTATCTGGCCCCAAATGTGAATAGTACCAAGATTGGTACTATTATGACATACAAATGAGTATGTCATCTTCATAAACAATTTTACTTGGTATTTCCAATCTGGAAGCTTTTTTTCTTGACTTACTACACTGGCTAGAATTTCCTATACAATGCTGAATAGAAGTGCAAGACCTGACACCTCTGGCTTCTTTCTGATCCAGTCTTTTGTTATTCTGCATGTCAGATACAGGCTTTTCAAAGATGCCCTTATTATTATTTTTAAATACCTTACTTATTGAGAGAGAGAGAGAGAGAAACACATGCACGTGGTGGGGAGGCACAGAGGGAGAAGGAGAGTCTCAAGCAGGCTCTAAGCTCAGTGCAGAGACAGATGCAACCCGAATTCACAACCCTGAGATCATGATGCATGACCGGAGCTGAAATCAAGAGTCGGATGCTCAACCAACTGAGCCACTCAGGAGCACCAAAAATGTTGAGGAAGTTTCATTTCATTCCTAGTTTGCTGACATTTTTTTAAAAAAATTAAAACATGATAAAATCCATGGTTTTTTTCTGTGTTAAGATGATCCATATGCTTTTCTTTTTCAGTGTTAATAGTGTAAACTACATTAATCAATCTTCAAATGCTAAGCTAACTTTCTATTCCTGGGATAAACCACACTTGGTTCTGTTGTACTATCCTTTTTATAGTGTTAGACTCCACTTGCTAAAAAATGTATTAAAAGAATTGTGTAATTTCTGTCCACAAAAGATATTAGTCTTTATTTTTCTTTTCTAGTAATGTCTTTGTCAAATTTCAGTGTCAAAATAACGCTGTCCTTATAGAATGTTTGGTTAATACTTCCTTCAATTAGAAGTCTATGCAGAATTTGTATTATTTGTAGTTTTTATTTTTTAAAATTTTATTTATTCATGAGAGGCACAGACAGAGGCAGAGAGGCAGGCAGAGGGAGAAGCAGGCTCCACACAGGGAGCCCGACGTGGGGCTGGATCCCAGGTCTCCAGGATCAGGCCCTGGGCTGAAGGCGGCGCTAAACCGCTGAGCCACTGGGGCTGCCCTATTTCTAGTTTTTAAACTATAAATTCAGTGCTTTAATAGACATGAAGCTTTAATAGATATGAAACTATTCAAGTTATCTATTTTTTTTCTTGAGTGAGCAAGCCATGGTAATGTCTTAAAAGGATTTTGTTCTTTTAATATAAGCTGCTGAGTTTGTGGGCATAAAGGTGTTCCTGCGCTCTGATTATCCTTTTAGCACTGATGTCACTTATTATTACTGATACTGTTAATTCGTCTTTTTTTCCGGTTCAAGACGGCCAGGGATTTCTCTATTTTATAGATCTTCTCAAAGAATCAGCTTTTGTTGTCACTGATTTTCTCTGTTTTTGTTTTCTATTTCATTGGTTTCCACTCTGACATTAACCATTCTCCCTTTTTGTACTTAGTTTAGGTTTCACTTACTCTTGTTTTTCTTGTTTCTTAAGACAAATGGCTGAAATTATTGGTTTGAGAACTATCTTCTAGTATTGTTCTGACTACATTCCACAAATTTTTAAATGCTGTTTATTTTAATTAACTTCAAAATTCTAATTTTCCTTCTGATTTCTCCTTGACCCATGGGTAATTTAGAAGTGAGTCATTCAGTTTCCAAGTATTTAGATTTTCCAGGTATCTACTACTGATTTCTAACTTAATTGCATTGTGGTCAGAGAACGTATTTGTTTCATAGCCCAGAATACGATCCATCTTGGTAACTGTTCTTTACATACTTGAAGATTTGTATTTTGCTCGTACTGCGTAAAACGTTCCATAAATGTCCATTAGGTCAAGTTGGTTGATGGTGTCATTGAACTATATCCTCGCTGATTTTCTGAGTACTTGTTTTATCATATGTTGTGAAAGGGGAATGGAAATTTCCGACTAAATCTACAACTCCAATTTACAATTGGGTTTTGTTAAAAAAAAAATTGATTTGCCTCATGTATTCTAAAGCTTTATTATTAGGTGCAAAGCTGTTTAGAATTATCACATCTTTTTTTGATAAGTGTACTGCATCATTCCGAAATGATTCTCTTAATTTCTGGCAGTGTTCTTTGTTGTGATATCCATAGAGGAACAGGCTTGCAGATGAAGACCATAAATCCAGTTTTAAACATGTCTGTAGAAGATGAGGTATCTAACAACCAAGGTCTCAGAGTTCAGGAGAGAAGTACGGCGTGGAGATACAGTTTTGAATTACCACGGTGTCCCTACAGCATCTGTGCAGTGCCAGTCTACAGAGGTGCTGCATAAACATTTATGGAATAAGGGGCACCTGGGTGGCTCAGCAGCTGAGCGTCTGCCTTTGGCTCAGGTTGTGACCCCGGGGTCCTGGGATCGAGTCCCACGTCGGGCTCCCCACAGGGAGCCTGCTTCTCCCTCGGCCTGTGTCTCTGCCTCTCTCTGTCTCTCATGAATAAATAAACAAAATCTTTAAAAAATGTATTTATGAAATAAAAGATCTGAGGAAACTCTGGTCTCCAAAGTAATTACGCCATTTAAAACTCACCTGATCCTGGGTCACAGGAGGATAAATTCACAGCCTCCAAATTCAAATGAAGCGTCAACCTCTACCATGCTTTCTAGTGAGTCATGCACCAGGTTTTCCACAAGAACGATTTTCCATTATCTTTTCCACGCTGCTTAACCCTTAGCTTAGCTCCCTTCTGGTTTTCAGTAGATGTTTGTTTCTCTTGTTCTCATGAAACAGAAGCTGTCGGAGAATTCCTTCACTTTCATCCCAATAAGCACACAAGGCTGCCTGCAACTGCACCCATCTTCCCTCCCGCCTTTACAATGAAAAGGGCTTGTCTTCTGGGTGTCATTCCCCTGCCGTCTTCCAGGGACTGATTTGTTGTTCTTCCCTCCTCTGTGCTGACTTTCCTGCCCCACGGGCTCCCTCCCATCAGCTCCGAGCTGCTCAGAGGTCTCCCATGTAGAGCACCGCCACCCTGCACCCTGGTTCTGCCTCCCACTGCTCTGCAGCCCGACCTCCTGAGTCACCCCAGCTCTTCACTGCCTTTTCCTCTTTCACCCCACACTCAATGGAACTATGCTGGAAAGGTCCCAAGGTCATTGCATTGTTGCCAAGTCCAAGGTACAGCTTTTGTTTCTTCTTCTACTTCACTCTTAAGCGGTGCTTCCATTTCCTGGTCGCTCCTTCACCAAAGCCTGGTCAACGCCCTGAGGGTGTTGTTGTTTTTAAAAATTTTATATATTTGCTCTCGAGATACGGAGAGAAGAAGGAAGTGAAGCAGGCTCCCTGTGGGGAGCCCATGTGGGACTCCATCCCGGGACCCCAGGATCACGCCCTGAGCCGAAGGCAGATGCTCAGCCACTGAGCCGCCCAGGTGCGCCTACCCTGAGCGTTCCAGCCCCTCCTGCCTGCTCCGTGTCTGCTCTCTTCATCTCCATGCAGAGGACACCCATGCACTGCACCAGTTCCTGCGCCCTGACCCTGCACACGGGGACACACTGTGCCAGCCCGGTCTGGTTCCTGTGCCCTGACCCTGCACACGGGGACACGCTGTGCCAGCCCGGCCTGGTCCCCGCGCCCTAACCTGCACATGGGGCTCACACCTGTGCCAGCCACCTGGTCCCGCCTGACCTGCACATGGGGCTCACACACTGTGCCAGCCCGGCCTGGTTCCTGCATGCGGGGACACACCTGTGCCTCCAGGACTGGTTCTTGTGCCCTGACCCTGCACATGGGCTCACACCTGTGCCAGCCCGGCCTGGTTCCTGCCCTGACCTGCGTGGGGACACACCTGTGCCTCCAGGACTGGTTCTTGCGCCCTGACCCTGCACATGGGCTCACACCTGTGCCAGCCCGGCCTGGTTCCTGCGCCCTGACCCTGCACGCGGGGACACACCTGTGCCTCCAGGACTGGTTCTTGCGCCCTGACCCTGCACATGGGCTCACACCTGTGCCAGCCGGCCTGGTTCCTGCGCCTGACCCTGCACTGGGGACACACCTGTGCCCAGGACTGGTCTGCGCCTGACCTGCACATGGGCTCACACCTGTGCCAGCCCAGCCTGGTTCCGCGCCCTGACCTGCACGGGGACACACTGTGCCAGCCCGGACTGGTTCCTGCGCCCTGACCCTGCACACGGGGACACGCTGTGCCAGCCCGGCCTGGTCCCGCACCTACCTGCACTGGCTCACACCTGTGCCAGCCGGCCTGGTCTGCACGCGGGGACACACCTGTGCCTCCAGGACTGGTTCTTGCGCCCTGACCCTGCACATGGGCTCACACCTGTGCCAGCCCAGCCTGGTTCCTGCGCCCTGACCCTGCACACGGGGACACACTGTGCCAGCCCGGCCTGGTTCCTGCACCGACCTGCACAGGGACACACCTGTGCCAGCCCGGCCTGGTTCCGCGCCCTGACCTGCACATGGGACACACTGTGCAGCCGGCTGGTCCTGCGCCTGACCTGCACACGGGGACACACTGTGCCAGCCCGGCCTGGTTCCCGCGCCCTGACCCTGCACATGGGCACACACTGTGCCAGCCCGGCCTGGTTCCCGCGCCCTGACCTTGCACACGGGGACACACTGTGCCAGCCCGGCCTGGTTCCCGCGCCCTGACCCTGAACATGGGGACGCACCTGTGCCTCCAGGACGGGTTCCCGCGCCCTGACCCTGCACACGGGGACACACCTGTGCCTCCAGGACTGGTTCTTGCGCCCTGACCCTGCACACGGGGACACGCTGTGCCAGCCCGGCCTGGTTCCCGCGCCCCGCCCCTGCACGCGGGCTCACACCGGCTGCACCCTGTCCCCGCCCCCGCCGCGGCTCCCCACCCCCCCCCGCCCGGGCCGAGAGGCGGCCCCGGGGAGCGCGTGTTCTCAGCGGGGAACGTCTTACCCGAGGGGCTGCTGATCGCGCCACCCGGCGTCGGGGCTCCGGATCCGCCCCTCCGGCAGCCGCAGCCCGCGCTGTGCTCGGTTTCTCCGGCCCCCGGGACACGCGAGCCCCCACACTGCCCCGCACACCGAGCCGGGGGCCGCGGCGCACGGACGCGGAGGAGCCGCACGGGGCGCGTCCGCGGGCACGGCCGCCTGGGGGACAGCGGGGCGCCGACCGGGAGCCAGGCCTCTCTCCGCCAGCCCGCTCCCCGCCGCGGCCGCCCGGAGCGCGACGACCGGAAGCCGTCCCCAGAGCCGCGGCGCCGCGCAGGCGCAGTCGGCGGCCCCGGCGCCGCGCACGCGCAGCCTCCCGGCGCAGGCGCGCTGGGCGGCCCCGGCTCCGCGCACGCGCACGCGCACGCGCACGCGCACCGGCCCGGCGCGGCGGAAGTACGGCGCCGGCGCTCTTCCGGGCTGCGCCGCGCCCCCGCGGGCCTACGTCAGGGCGTCGGGGCGGAAGATGGTGCGGCTCCGGGCCGGCGGTTGCTGAGCGCGCCGGGACGCAGCTGGCCCCGGGCTCCCCGCTCGGGCGCCCGCCGCGGGGCCGCAGCCATGTCGCTGCTGCAGTCTGCGCTGGACTTCCTGGCGGGCCCGGGCTCCCTGGGCGGCGCCGCCGGCCGCGACCAGAGCGACTTCGTGGGGCAGACGGTGGAGCTGGGCGAGCTGCGGCTGCGGGTGCGGCGGGTCCTGGCGGAGGGTGAGGCGCGGGCGGGGGGGCGGGGCGGGGGGTCCCGCGCTCCGGGGAGGTGGGCGGGGGGGGGGCGGGGCAGGGCCGGGCCCGCGGCCTCCCCCGCCCGCCGCCCAGTGCACGTCCGCGGCGGCGTCCGGGAGCCCCGGGGTGGCGCCGGCCCGGCTCCTGGCGCCCCCGCTGCCCCGCGGCCCCGCTCCTGGCGCCGCCGCCGGCCCCCTCGGATTCCCTTGCGTTGTGCGGGGGCGCCCGCCTGGCTCGCGGTGCCCGGGGCTGGACGCCGCCGCCCCGCCGGAGCCGGGATCAGCCGGCGAGCGTCCCGGCGGCCGCGCCCCGGAGGCCCGCGGGGTGTTCGGGCTGCCGCGTTCCCTTGCGTGTTTCCCCCAAGCCGGGGGGAAGGGCACAGGTTTGGGTGCGATCCGGTAAGCAGAGGCGGGGGCCGGCGACGCCCGGACGGTGTCGGCCCCGCGGGGGCCTGTGCTCCGACACCAGCCAACACCTGTGCCGGGTTTTCAGTGAGAGATTCACGGCGGACGGTGGGTGGATTTTGCCCTCGGGAACGTGCGGTTAGACGCACGCCCCAGTGACGGGAGGGAGGATGCCCGCCTCGGGCGGGAGGGCGGGAGGGCGGGAGGGCCGTGCAGGGCCGTGCAGGGCCGTGCGGAGCGGGAGGCTCACCAGGAAGAGGAACGAGGAAATGGGAGCGGCCCACGCGGTTGTGCACTAGAACGCACTCCCTTTGCCTTCTGGGCAGGCCGGGAGATAGGAACACGGGCGGCGTGATTAGGGCCGGAGCTTTCCTCTTTACAGACGGAGCCGGAGCCTCGTGGCCTTTCAGGCTCGCGAGGCCTCTTGCTGAACTGCGATGGTCAGAAACCCGCGGGAAGCCTTTCAGGGAAAACAGCAGCCCCGCAGCCTAGGCCGTAGGAGCGCGTGCTGTCTCCTGCAACGGCGGCGGCGGCGGCGGCGGGGAAGGCTCCGAACCCAAGACCCTTGGGAGAAGACGTTGACGACTTCAGGATTCTTCAGGTTTCAGAAAGATCAAGAGTGCAACGACCTGCATACCCCGGGGTGTTCCTCCGGGAGTTGGGAAGGTGTTTCATGACCAGATAAATCACTCGCCCCCGATTCAGGGAGCGAGTGGAGTGTCTTTACTGTAGGGTGATTAGGCCTTTAAAGAGCCCCACCCGCCTCAGTTCATGTCACGTGTTGCCCCCAGATGAGTTTATGGTGGGCCGGATTCTGCTTTCAGATGGTTTAGGGGGAAAAGCATTGTTTTTCATCGGTAGCATGAAATGGGTTGTGGGATCCTGAAAGCTTCCCAATCCTTTGAAAATTGGTTTTAAGCTCTCCTTTAAAAGGAAGACCAAGTTTTTTGGAAGTAATTCCAATGTCAGAGATGCTCAGTCTAAGCAGATCCTAGGGTACGTTCTTAATGTTTCCTTGTTTTGGATCTTGTGCGCTCTTGCTTGCTTCCTACCATCCAGATGACAGGAGATCGGTCTGCCAAGACGAGGGTTCCGCCACATGACAGGAGTCCACCTCGCTAGTGATTGTTTGACTCTGGCCACCCTGCTAGCAGTGTGGATGAGGTGGCGTGTGGGCAGCTCTTCAGAAGGTGGAACAAGTCCTCAGGGCTGTCCTGTGATTGCCGGGTAACGAGTTGTGTGTGTGTGCTGGAACGCCGTGGGCCATGTGTGGTGTCAGTGGCCTCTGATGAACCTTACGTGGGTCCTTGGTGTTCTCTCTGGGGCCAGGGACGGCAGACTGCACGCTAACTCCGGGCCAGCTGCTGCCTTGCCCTCCACCCCTCTGCGTCCTGGTCTCTGCTTTCAGAGAGACCGCTTCTCTTTGTCGTGCTGGCCTTGGAGAGGGCACAGGGGCCATCTGGTGTTGACGGGCAGTCGCAGAGTTGTGCGGTAGGACTCTGGGCTGGAGGTTTCAGGAACCACTGAGATTGGTGTGAGGGAACAGGATCATAGGTTGTCAGGACATCCTCTATAGGGATACACAGTGTAGCACGTTTTTATTTATTTATTTATTTATTTATTTATTTATTTATTTATTTATTTATTTTTTATTGTTTTAGTGTAGTACGTTTTTAAAGTTGATTTAAAAAGACAGTGGGGCAGTTGTCGCTCACTGATAGGGTAGCAAATAGCACACGGTTCTTTTCACACAGGAAGTGGGCCTGAGCTCTCAGCCCTGTGGCTTGGTGGTCTTGTTCTGAGTATCCTTCCTCTGGACTACTGTGACTGCTCTCACCCAGGGAGGATCTTGTCTCCAGACACCCCAGAGCACAGATAACCAAGGTCTTTGCTGGGGGGGGCTTGCATCGTGGACAACAGCTGGTTCTGGTATTCACAGCGGTGGTTCAGTCTTGTGTCTAATTGCCCTCCCTTAGCTCTCCTAACCGCGCCCTCTACGTTTGCACCTTGGTCACCTGAATATCAGCCTCTTACCCATCATGCCTGACGCCTAGTACGAAATACCGATGATAACCAGCACAACATTGGTGGAGTTCTGACTGTTTGGCGGGCGCAGTCCCTGGTGCGTCCCGTGGTCTGTGATCCTGACAGTGGCTGACGGAAGGGCCATCAATAGCTGGCCAGAGCGGTGGAGTTGGGACTGCTGGGGCGTGTCTTGTGTCACCCACGTGGTGGTGCAGGTCCCCCGGTAGAGTGTGTCCTGAGGATGTCATGGTGAAAGAAGCAAGTGGCAGTGCACCTGTTGGTGGAGCTTCCAGAAGTGAGTGTTGCCCGGGAGCCAGGATGGGAGCTGAGCACCAAGGCTATACCACTCCTTCTTGGTCTGTGCCTCAGTTGGCAGCAGTATCAGGCACATGTAACTTCTCCAGCTTCTGTGTGTCAGTATGCAGGTGCTTGGAGCAGGACATCATGGGGGAGGCCACCGTGGGGGAGGCCACCATGGGGGGCGGTTATTGTGGGAGGAGGTCGCCCTGTGGGGAGGCCACGGCGGGGGTGGGGGTTGGCGCAGGTACTGTTCAAGGGACACAGGAAAGAAAGGCTGCTCGCTGTTCCCTTGGCCTGGCCCATTCTCTCTGTGGACTCCTGCCATCCGTCTGTCCACATGGGCCCGGATCCCTGAAAGATCTGTGGCACTCACATGAGGATAGGAGATGTAGGTAACAGGGTGTCTGTTCCTTAGAAACAGTGTTGATTGATAGCACGCCGTAAGATCTCCCGGATGCTCCCGGTGCTGTGCTGCTGCACCACATTTCCTGGTGCTCACTTTCCCCCTGTCCCCCGAGTCCATGACCCTACGTGGAGGCCTTCCAGACCCCTGTGTCTCCATACCCTGCTCCTTGCAACGGGCAAGAACTGTGAGGGCTTGTGAGGGCTTGTGTTGATTTGCGTTTCTCTGACTCGTGAGCTTGAGCGTTTTCCAGTGCTTGTTAGCTTTTTCAGACCCCTCTTCTAGAATTGTCCATGGATGTCCTGTACCTATACTTAATAAAAAACAATTTAAATCGAGTTATTGACATACAGTAAAATGTACAGAATTTAGATGCTTCGACAAGGGCTTACACCCATGTGGCCAACCACCTGTCGAGATACAGAACAGTTGAGTGACCCAGGAAGCCTCTCGCGGCCCCCAGCCGCCTTCCCCGCCTCCGCCAGCCACCCACCGACAGCCACCAGCTCTGAGCCCCCCTCTCCCAGAGCAAGGTGCACGTGACGTCACACCCCGAGTGCTGTCTCTGGTTCTGAAGTTCCCACTCTGGTCGTGGCTTATTCATCCGCTCTCCTGCTGATGGACATTTGGGTGTTTCCGCTTTGGGCTGTGATGAATAAATCCGCCAAGAACACTCTTTCACAGGATTTTTTTTGTGGCCATGGGTGTTCTCTCAGGTAGAAACCCAGGAGTGGAATTTTTGGGTATAGGATGGAGGTGGGTCTCACAGAACACAGAGCAGACAAGCCCCCTCCCGCCCAACCACCACCAGGGCGGCCCTGGTGAACGTTCCCCACAGCAGCGTGGGAGTTCCTGACCTCGGCGGCCACCCATTAGTACTGTCACTTTGGTTAGACTTGTTCTTGTGTGTGTGCCGCGGGGTCTCTCTGGTGTGGGATTTGCATGCACCTGATGATACCATGTGGAGCACTTTTTCTGCTTATTAACCAGTTGTATGTTTTGTTTTGTGCCTGAAATGCCCATTAGAGTCTTTTCCATTTTGAATTGAGCAGGAGTTGTGGGAGTTTTTTTTATTGCAGATATGAGTCATGTATGAGATATATACACCCATGCACGCGTGTGAGGAGGAGGAAGTAAGCCATAGACGGGGTCGCTTCTCCCCGGCCGGGCTGCCTTGGGAGGCAGGGGCCCGGTCTGGGCTGCTGAAGTTTCGGTGCCTATCTCCAGATTGCAGAATGTGTACGGTAAAGTGACGGCATCCGGCTGCGTGTTAGCAGTGCCTGCCCTGTCACTTCTTGATGTGTTGCATGCAGCAGAATCACTATTTTTTTTTAAAGATAGGTATTTTTATTTGAGAGAAAGAGCGCAAGCAGGAGGAGGGGCAGAGGGAGGAGCAGGCTCCCCACTGAGCAGGACCCC